ACAACTAGTTCAAATGGAGTTTGGTGAAAAGTTCATTAAGGTGATATTAAGCATCTATCAAAAGCAGTCTGCTAGGATTATAATCAATGGAGAATTTACAAATATATAAATATTTATATATAAATAGATATAAATAGATATACAAAAGGGTACAAGACAAGGATGCCCGCTATCACCACTGTTGTTTATATTGATCTTAGAAGTGTTAAACAGAAATAACAGAGACAATATGGACATTAAAGGTACTAGAATTAGAGATGAAAGCTATAAATTGCAGTCATTTGCAGATGACCTAGTTTTCATAACTGAGGAACTCTTAGTAACAATGCCTAAACTCCTACAAAGGATTGAAGAGTATGGCGAGGTTACTGGGATGAAAATAAACAGAGAAAAGATGAAATTGTTAGTAAAAAATCTCACACAGGAGCAGAGAAAAACTCTGGTGGAACAAGTAGACTTTCAGATTGTTAAAAAGGTTAAATACTTGGGAATTTATCTTACAGCTAAGTGTACCACTCTGAAAGAAGACAATTATGATACACTATTTAAGGAAATTAAGAGTGATTTGGAAAAATGGGCTAATTTGCAATTATCCTTGCTGGAAAGAATAGTGCTAGCTAAAATGATTATATTACCAAAGCTTTGTTTCTATTCCAAATGATTCCCATAAAAATTGATAGAAAATTTTTTGATGTTTTAAATTTTCAAATCTCGAGATTTATATGGAGAAAGAAGAAACCAAGGATTAAAGTAAAAATACTTCAGGAGGCTAAAAAGAATGGGGGTTTTGGTCTCCCTGATTGGATGCTGTATTATCAAGCTTCAGTTTTAATGTGGCTAAAAGAATGGATAACCTTAAGAAATAAGAGAATCATGTATCTCGAAGGGCATGATTTGCAAATGGGTTGGCATGCTTATATGTGGTATGAAAAGTGTAAGGTACATGGTTCTTTTTTAAGTTATTATATTAGTAAATCATTAATCATTAAAGACAAAACTGTATAATAAATTGCCAAGATGGCTTTCACCTATGGAAGCTCTTGTATATCCAAATGCATTGAACTTTGAAGCGATTGTAAGATATGACGACATTTTGGATAATGATGGAGGATTGAAATTGAATAAAAAAATACAAGAACAAGGATCTAATATTTCTTGGTGGCATAAGGTGCAGATACAATCGAGATATGCTAAAGACTATAGAATGTGGGGCTTTTATAAGGATTTAACAGCATTTGATCAGGTGATGCTTAAATCAGATGAGAAAATGAGTAAAGACTATATAATTTCTTACTAGATAGGAGAATGGAAGATGAACAGGTTAAGGAAACTATGATAACGTGGGCACAAAACTTTGGATATAATATTGAATTATATTATACTGTGCAGGACTGTGCAGAAATGGACAGATTGACTTTGTCACTGAAGGAGAAAGAAGATACTGACTTCTATCAAACCTGGGACTGTTTTTATTATTGGCTAGAGAAATGGGGCTTTGCATAGATTCAAATATGTTTATAAGTTAACATAAAAAGAAAAAATGTGGGGGCTGACCCAGCAGGTCTGATGTTTCTGATGATTGATGTTGTTCTTAGTTTTTCTTTGTATTAGGTTTATTTAGAATAAAACTTATTCCAAAAACAAAAACAAAAACAAAACTTTGCCTCTTCTGGTCCTTTCTTGACTAACAGCAGCAGTGAAGAAATGAAACTTAAATAAGATATTGCAGGATATGGTTTTTATGCATCAAATGGACTGTCAAGTCGTGATTGGAGGCCAGTGGATTAGGGGGCAGAAAACATTCATCTGTCCTGGGCCAGAGTCAAATGACAGGGTCAAAAATAGCATGATAAAATCAGTTACCATAGCTGGGATCCATCTGCAGAAATTTACAGTGGTACTGATAAACTCAGCAGATTTTGAGAATTAGTGGGCTGATCTCAGGAAAACTTAACCCCCCTGTGAAAACATGCATTGCCCATAAAATGAACCCTAAATGTATAGAAGTATATCACAATCCTTTCTCTCTGAACTTATTTTCAGTTAAGCATGCACAGAGCTAGACTCCCTTTACCACCCAAGGGAGCACCAAGTGGAACAGGAGCAACAAGAAACAGAGGACTGAACTCCTATGGCGCTGTTCCTTTACCTATTTTATTTTGTATTACAGAACAAAATCTAAACAACACAAAGGAAAAAAGAAAAAATGCCATCATCTTGCATAAGATGTAAAGAAATGAATAAATCTCTCTCTCTATATATATATGTATGTATGTATGTTATATATTCCTATATATTTGTATGTAGCAAGATATGCTACTATTGTTGAAAATAATCATGCCTAAGCTTCAAGAAAGGCAACCCCAATATCCAAACACTTATCCATTTATCATTTATGCCCAAGGACCATCCATTCAAAAATCAAGAGTTTCATTAGGTCTTCCACCCACCGTGTTATTGGAGGTGGATGTTTGTCCCTTAAAAGTTGTAATATGAATCTTTTAGCTGTCAAAAAGACAGATAATCCATTTTCATTGATCTTGTGTTCAATTCCAAGAGGTGGGTAGATAATTATGAGAATAAATATAACTGAATATTAAAAAACCCCTTTCCATCACCAAATTACCATCTCCTTCCAGAATGAAGCAGCCACTGAGCACTGCCAAAATGTATGAAGATTAGAAGTATTAGCTAAATCATACATCCAGCAACTGGCTGATTTAATTTAGCTGCTATCAAAAATATGTTTCGGCATCCAGTATTCTCAAAGCATCATCATCATCATTCTCTTCTTTTTTGGTTGAATTAAATGTCAGCTAAGATCCATTGCCCCTTCTGAAATAGATGGTAATGGAATATCCCAATGACTGGGCAAAATCATAGAATAGTAGAGTTGGAAGGGGCCATGAAGGCCATCAAGTTCACCCCCCTGCTGTTGCAGGTCACCATGTTATACCATCCCACTCAGATGGCTGTCCAGTTTCTTTTTGAATGTGGGAGAACCCACCACCTCTCTTGGCAGCTGGTTCCACTGTTGTATTGCTCTGTCCATCCTGCATCTGGGTTGTCGCAACTTGAATTGATTAGTTCGTGTCCTACACTCTGGCATCAGCAAGAAGAGAGCTTGACCTTTCTCTTCGTGACAGCCTTTGAGGTGTGAGGTGTTCCAATCTATTATTCCATTCTTGCTTCAGAATGGGCAAGAATACGTCATATTTATTAACTTATAATAGATATTTATACACATAGATTGTAGATTGAAGTAGCTGATTGGCTTCAGTCAAAACTGCCAATGACACAGGCAGCTTGGAAGCTGTAAAACCAGCAGGACCAACATTTTAATAAATGTTCCAGTTGCTTATATTACCATGTAGCCGTAGCTGGCAATTTCTGTTTAGTACTTAAAGTGAAAAATGGCGGCATGTTATCTTAAAGACCAACAAGTTGATCTAAGGTTAACATCAGCCTGTGTTAAGCCCACCAAACAGACTTCTTAGTCTCTCTTTAAGGCTTGATTTTCCCATAAGGTTAATTTCAGCATATATTAAACTGCAATTGACATTAAAACATGTGCCACATCTTTCTAACTGCTGTAAATGTAACAGGCACATTGTCTGTTCTGGTATAATGGGGGACCCAATGAAATCCATTTGGGAAGAGGATTCAAACTTGCTGCTGTACTTTTGACACTAATAGAAGCTTGACCAACAAGTGAAACTTCCAATGACATGGAGACAAGCATTTTGACTTGCTAAATGTCTGCAGGTCAAAATGCTTTCACAGCAGAGCAGCTGAAAAAAGTTAGTTTTATGAGTAGGCTTGGAACCTCAATGTTCTATATAGTCATTAGGATAAGATTGGTTTGTAGCATGCATTATTGCATTTCCAGCTAGGAAATTTTGTATTATATGATCCGATCAACCAATATTCTACTTCTTACAACTTTCAAAGGCACAGAGCCTCTTCCTCCATAGGAAGCTTGCAACCCTGACCATGAGTTATGAGTACAAAAATCATGAAAGGGAACTCTGTATATGCTCAGAGACACTTTTTTTCTCCAAGACAGCCTGTGTGATTCCGCTGTCAACTGTGCTGAGGGTGGCACAATTTTAAGCATGCATAGTCAGTACTGTCTGATTGGGGCTTACTCAGTGGGGGCTGAGTCGGGCTTACTTCCTTGTAAACGTGTTTAGGATCACGACCTTGCGATAAGTGGCCAGTTAATCACTTAGACAGGTAGAGTTTCCGACTTTAAAAGAAAAGCAATAACAAAACCAAGATTATAAATTAACTGATAAAGTGTCTCTTCATCTGTATTAACTAAAACTGTAAATGTGTACCTGTATATACGGGGATCCGAAACAGGGCTCATGAGGTGCCATAGATAATTTAGCTGCCCATTTGCTCCGTCTCCAATGGGTGGATCTCAAGGTTCTTATTCCAAAATAGAAGCAGAGCTCGCCAATCCGAACTCTGCAACTCGCGCGATCCTAGGAAAATGCGCGCAGAACTGCTCTTCTACCGGAGTCGTAATCCCGCTAAATTTACTTCGATCAATGTATACCATGAGTAAGCACACATCAGAACCGGCTCAAACTAAACCCCAGGCATGCAACACAAGAGCTGAGCACCAAGATTATTTTTAAAAACGTTATTAAATTGCTATCACCAATGGAAATCAAATATCTGCTTTGCCTCCTCTGCACCTGGAGGAGACATTTACATCGGACCGCCCCCCCCCCCCCCCGCATTAAACTGGAAGCTTTCTTAAAAGCTAAGGAAGCACGGAGATGCAGCCACGGCTCTCCTGTGGATTACGGGCAAGTCTCTTGCATCCCGGTGCAAGAAAGACTATGCAGGAAAAGCAGAGAGTAGAGGCGGAGCCAGCGGTGGAGCTATTAAGTTTCACTTTCCATTGCGGGCCTTCTGCAATGGGAAATCAAAACTATGTGGCTTGCTTAGCTCCGTCCTCCTGCAAGGCACTTTGACGTCAGAAGAGAAAGCGGTGGCGCTGCGAACGGAGCTGTTCTCAGGCTCCTGCAGACTCAAGCTGGCTAAGAAGTGGACCAAGCACCTCTTTCCCTCGGTTCGCAGTAAGTGCCTGTTCTTTTTGCTCACATCTTCCTAAGATTGAGACGCAAACTAGACAAGACAGAAGTGCTGTCAGTGGGTGTTCGCCTGTCCTGTTGAGTGATTTTCAGCCTGTACGGGGCAGGGTTGCACCGCCCTGGAAGACACGGTTCGTAGCTTGGGGGTGTTCTTGGACCCGAGTTATCATTTGAGGTGCAGATGGACTCTGCGGCACTGTTTGCTGATGTGCCAGCTCGGACCCTTCCTGGACAGAGAGAGCCTGGCGACGGTTCCCCACACTCTGGTAACCTCTTGTTTGGATTACTGAAATGCGCTGTGCGCGCGGCTGCCTGAAAAAATCAGCTGATCCAAAGCAAGGCAGCAAGACTGTTAATGGGGGCAGGATCACGGGAATCGTCTTCCAGTTACGCAGGCTGTTGGTTAAAATCCCAGCCCTATTCCAAGTGCTAGTACTGATACGCAAAGCCCTAGAGGGCTTGGAGCCAGGCTATCTGAAGGACTGGCTCCTCCCTTATGTACCTACCCGGAACCTGCGGTCTCTTCTGGGGTCCCTCTCTGGGTGCCATTTCCAAAAGAAGTGAGGTGGTTGGTTACCAGGGGGATGATCTGTTCAGTTGTGGCACCCCAGTTTTGGAATGAGCTCCCCAAAGTGGTGTACCTGGCACTACTTTGTATTCTGTTTGGTGCCAGGTGAAGGCCTTATTTTTCCAGCATTTTAACAGTTTAACTTTTAACTCTGGTTTTACTGTATATATCCGTTTTATTCTGCATCACTGCTGTGTTTGTATCTAGAATAATGGTAATTGCAGTTGTGGTTTTGTTCTTTTAAATCAATTTTGTTTGTGTGTCTTTTTAACTTTCGTTAATTGCCAGAGAACTTTGGCTATTGGATGGTTTAAAAATTAAAAAAATAATACTAAATAAATAACTAGTTGCTGCTTTGTTTTCCTGTGGATGCAACTTGAAGCATGCTTCGATGGGGCAGGAGTCCTACAATTCCCACCGAAGAGCATTTTTTTCTGTCTAAACCCACATAGGGTTGTACCCTAAATGTGGGGAATATTTAAGGAGTGCAGTGTGGATCCACCAAGTATGTTTAATCTCTTTTTACTAAAGTGCAGCATCACGTTTTGATCTCTGAAGGAAAGGGGTTTTGCAACATCCCATCTGCAAGGCAGTCTGTCCTAATATGGTGCTCTTTGAAGTGAAAAGATGGAGTTCCTTCCCAACAAAATACTAGTTATGAAACAAAAAAAGAACACATAATTTGCTTGATGTGTGCAGAAATAAATATTGCAGAGTTCAATAACTTTTACTCCCAAGTTAAGTAAGAACAGGAGTGTAAACTTAGCTAAACTAGATTGGGAAGGGGGAATCTTCATTTTACCCCTTTCTTTTTCATTATAACGCAAAAAGGGCATGCTCCTACAGGGATGGGTAGATTCAAAGTCCTTCCTATTTCTAGGTCTCCTTTCCCTGTGGAACTGCCTAACAATTGTGCTCATTTCACACACTAGTAAAGTTATGCTCAAAATCCTACAAGCTAGGCTTCAGCAGTATGTTAACTGAGAACCACCAGAAGTACAAGCAGGGTTTCACAGAGGCAGAGAAACTAGAGATCTGAGTTGTCTGTATGTGTCTTGCTCAGAATGGCTTGAATCTGGCCAGCTGTGCTTGTCAGCCTTCCGGACAGCACACGCAGTTAGTGCAGGTGCCGGTTTGATGGCTGCATTGCTGCTGCTTAAAGGGCAGTGAGCTTGTGGCACCTTCCTGGAACGTTCATGGCCAGGCTGCAGTATCTTTCCTCCCGGGCAGCTTCCTTTATACAGCAAGTTGGGTAAGATGACTTCCAAGGTTCCTTCCAAATCTAAAATTTTATGATTTTATCTGCAACATCATACTCCCAATGTTATGCTTTCTGATGTGTCCTCCTTGTTGCCAGGATCAGGACAGCGTTACTAACAAATTGCTTTGCGGGCGCTTTTGAACGTAGCCCAAGGCCCACATGCAGCCCTAGGGTTGTAGGTTGCCTACTTACGCAGTAAAGAATATAAGTCCTGGAAATCAGAGCTATAATCCATCATTTTTCCTTCCTTTTAGGAGACAGAAAAAGATCTGCCTTCCTTAACTTGGTGGCCTCCAGATGTGTTGAAATGCAACTCATTGTGCTGGCTGAGAACAATAGAAGTTGCAGACAACTGGTGGGCATCAAATCAGGTTGGGGTTTGCTGTTTTAGACAATTATTAACCCGTATCTGTGCCTGAAATGGAACATTATTGTTCAGGAGCTGTCTTTTGCTTTATTGAGAAAAATGTAATTCGGATGACTTTTTCTCCCCATCCCAAAGAAGCACATGAAGTAAAGTTAGATGCCTATTTTGACAATCCCATAACTGACTTGGTTGCCTGTTTGCATTGCACAGCCTGGTTGATGGGTCAGGGAGTTGGAAGGCCACTGGAAAGCAAAAGTCAGAAACTGGATGAATTTCAGAGCATGAATGCTGAGGCGCATCAGACAGATGAAGAAGAAAGCACAGAGAATGCTTTGGAAAATCTCAACCAGCAGCTCAAAGCAATCTTTGGGAAGGCAGATTTAAGAAATGGTACAATTAAAAAAAGTTTGTTTTTTTATTTTCATTGCCAGTTACACCTTCTTCTTTCTTTTGACACTCTTTTCTGTTTCTCCATGTTATGTTGGCAAAGCTACATCTTATGCACAAAGGTATGTGTGCATGAGGTGGAAACATTTGTTGCTGCTTCCGATGCAAGTTTACAGATGCTCTCTTGGCCTGAAGACTGAATTACCATATTTTTTGGTCTATAAGATGCACTTTTTTCCCCCTCAAAAGTAAGGGGAAATGTCTGTGCGTCTTATAGAGCGAATATGTGTGTGCAGTAAGTCTGTCAGATGTGCAGCCCATGGGGAAGTGATGGGGAATGTGCCTGTGATTATGTGCCCATTTGATTCAGAATATTTTTTTTCTTGTTTTCCTCCTCTAAAAACTAGGTGTGCCTTATGGTCAGGCGTGTCTTATAGAGCAAAAAATACGGTATACTCTACAAAAAACTCCCTGGAAATCCATTCCAGTATTGACTGGAGCCAAAAGGAAAAGAGGCAGGGACAAAAATAGCAGGATATTTTAGTTTAAAACTGCCAGTAAGTCAGTCTTTGGAGAGGCTTTTGAAGCTGTGGGACGCAGCAGAGAAGCTGGGAAACTACCAGACAACTGGAGATTGAGGGAAAAGGATATGTAGCCATCCAGGGAAGCCATAGGGCTAGACTGGGACACCCAGAAAACAAGATCTAGTCCTTCAGCTGGCATTCTGTACTCCTGTTCCAGGGCAAAAGGAGCTTTGAGTAGTAATACTAAGTACAGCTACATAATCTTAGACCATGGACTTCAGCGTGCTGTAAGGGGCCCAGTAGATGCCCGTGTGCATTACTCCAGTTGTGAAGCACACAACTATAATTCTTTTTCTCCTCTTCTGCATTTTATAATGGCTTCTTTTTTTGAAGTGACTTTCTCTTTAAAGCTGCCAAAGGTTTCAGGCCAAAAAACTTGACTGCCTTTACCCATCTTGACCTGCTCATGCTTGGAGAGCTGCATAAGAGCTCCTTCTTGTTGGCTTATCTATGAAAGCAGTGATGTTGGTGACCACATGAGCCCGTTTCTGGGTCCACATCTCTGGAGTAAGTTGCCCTCCATGACCCACCACAGGCCAACATTGCAGGCCAACCTTGCATCCTTCGGCCCTGCAGCCATGCTTGCTGTGGCTCTGAGGTGACCTCAGTTTTTTCAGGGTGCAGTGAGGAGCAAGGAGGGAAGATGGCAGGTTTCATCAGTGGGTAAAGTATCCTGGCAGCACCTTGGCTTCTTCTCCTTGCATCTCAGGGCAACATGGAGAGCTGGCAGAAATCATCTGCCTTTGAGGTGTTTTGTGCAGCAAGTGAGGCATGAAGGTGACCTTAATCTCTGCATTCTTTCCACCCTCTATAAGAAGACTGTACTCCTTCAAATTTCAATGGCTATAGACAACCTCATTGGATTGTGTGGGTCCAGTCTGAAAATAGACAGAAGGGGGAGCCAGGGAGAGAAATGCAGACCATGTCAGTGGGGGACAAATTATTTCTGTTTCATGTCTGTCGACACAGTTTAAGTATTGTGCAGTTTGATCTTGTGTCTGTTTTCACAACAATGGAACAGAACCTAAAATCAGTGTGCACTGGATTCCAGTCTCAAAGGATATCTTTCTCCTTGCCTTTCACCCAAGCAGAGTAATTCCCATTTTGTCGTTTAATTTCAGAAGCGGTTGGCTTGTACAATATTGGTTTGAGCTGCTGCCTTAACTCCTTGCTTCAAGTTTTCTTCATGAACAGACACTTCACTATGATACTCCGGAGGTGAGTATTGGCGAGTTCAGTTTCTTGCCCTGAACTGGAGTGCTGTGCAGTTGCCAAGATGAAACTAGGTGTTAAAACTGGGATTGCAGTTACTGAGCAAGGGATCAAGAGGTCTCTGGTTCGCATCTTGCCTGTGTTATGAACTTACTTAGCTTTGTCGCTCTTTCTCAGCCTCAGTCTTCTGGTCTGCAGTATGGGAGAATAATTCTCTCTTCTCTATGGTGATTGTAATGCATAGAACCTTTAGGGTGAAATCCTATCCATTTTTAGACAGCAAAAAGTTCTTTCATTTCCAGCATTCCCCAGCCAGCTGTGCCTGGCATATAAACCCAGGATTATTGACTTAAAAGCAGCCAGAAGAAAACAAAATCTGAACCCCATTCATCTAGACCCCTTTCTGGGGGAAACTATCCATGCAATACTTGAATTCTCAATTATAAAGGAGGCAATGGATAACTGGAGTCGAACATGCATTCTGGACTTCAAGAAAGCCAACTTTAATGAACTCAGAAAAATGATAAGCAAAGTGCCATGGCAACACATCCTTAAGGGGAAAGGTGTCCAAGAGGGGTGGGAAACCTTGAAAAAGAAGTTTCTCCAAGCATCCATTCCTGGAAATATTTGGAGCAAATTATTTAAAAAATCAGTCTGCAAACATCTGGAAAAAACATAGTGCTTAATAGAAGCCAACATGGATTTATCAAAAATAAATCTTGTCAGACTAATTTAATCTCATTTTTTGACTGGGTGACCTCACAAATGGACAGGGGGAACACTGTGGACATGGTCTACCTAGACCAGGGGTCCTCAAACTTTTCCAGCAGGGGGCCAGTTGAAAGGTGCCCGTGGTGGGTGTGGGCTGCCAAGGTGGTGCTGGCGGGGGGGGGGGGGGGAAACAAGGCAGCCGCTTGCTCACGAGGAGATAATTTTCTCTGAGTGAATCCAAACCAGTCTCTGTGTGAGCAAGCCATGTGCCTGCATGTGGCGAGTGCAAAACCTCTGGGGCGAGCCAGTTAAATGGGCATGACGGGCCGGATCTGGCCTGCGGGCCGTAGTTTGAGGACCATGACCTAGACTTTACCAAAATTTTCAACATAGTGGCACACAACACTCTGATAAGCAAATTAGCAAAAACTGGACTAGATAGAAAAACTATTAGGTGGATCCAGTATCGGCTGCTGAATCAGACGCAAAGAGTGCTCATCAATGGCACCTTCTCCAATTGGATGGAGGTAACTAGTGGGGTGCCACAGAGTTCAGTCCTGGGCCCAGTACTCTTCAACATCTCCATTAATGATTTGGATGAGGAAGTACAAGGATAGATAATCAAATTTGCAGATGATACAAAACTGGGTGGAATAGCAAACACTCTGGAAGACAGAATGAAGATCCAGGGCGATCTTGATAAACTTGAACACTGGCTGAAAGCAACAGAATGAGATTCAATAAGAACAAGTGCCAAGTCTTCCACTTAGGAAAAAGAAACCAAATGCATTAATACAGCATGCGGAATATGGGGTTCAACAGAACTGAAAAAGAGAAAGCTCTCAGAGTAATTGTGGACAATAGGCTAAATATGAACCGATGATGTGATGCAGCCACCAAAAGTGTACATGCTATTTTGGGATGCATTAACAGAAGTATTACTTCCAAATCACGAGAAGTAGTAGTTCCCCTATACTCCACTAGCCAGACATCATCTGAAATGCTGTGTCCACTTCTGGGCACCAAGATTTAAGAAAGATGTAAATAAATTAGAAAGGGTCCAGTGGAGGGCAACAAAAATGATCCAGGGTTTGGAAACTGCCCTATGAGGAGAGACGGAGAGAACTGGGCATGTTCAGCCTTGAGAAGGTTGAAGGGGGACATGATAACCCTCTATAAGTACCTCAAAGGCTGTCACAAAGAGGAAGGTCAAGATCTCTTCTTGCTGATGCCAGAGTGTAGGACACTGAATAATCAAGTCAAGCTGTGACAACCCAGATTCAGGCTAGATATCAAGAAAAGTTTCTTCACTGTCAGAACAATAGGACAGTGAAACCAGCTGCCTGGAGAGGTGGTGGGCTCTCCCACATTAGAGACATTCAAAAAGAAATTGCACAGCCATCTGAGTGGGGTGGTGTAACTTGGTGTCTTCACCGGAGATCTTTATCTTCTCATGATGTGTTCAATTTACAGCAGTCTCAGTATTGTCTTTTGTGTTTCCAGGGCATGTTCTGGTTTGATTTGATCTAGCATCCCTTCATTTGTCTTCCTGTTGGCCGCGTTCAGCTAAGTCTAGCATCAGGGTTCTTGTCTACCATTTAGTAGTCTGGTATGCTGAAAAACTAGTTGAGAGAGTATAGAACCTATGCTAGTAAGGTATTGCTTGCATACTAGATCTGGATAAAAGAGGGACACACATCTGGTTAAGTTAATTGGATACCTTTATCACTGCTTCATGGTGGGTGTGCATATCTCTTCAGATTTTAAAGCTTTTCCTGATTAGCATTTTTTTTAGACTTTGGAATGTTGTTATTTGAAACACTGTGATCTCTTATGTTTGGAATCATGCATCCCACCTATCATATACAACTCCCACACTACTAAAGGGATGTCAGAGACGAAGAGAGTATTAAGGCTGGATTGGTGAGGGCAGCTAGGGAGGGGGGATTTCCACCTGGTAGCAGTGGAGAAGGCCACGAGATGGGACGGGGGAAAGAGCAGGAGCACATCATTTTGCCTGTTCTCTCTTCCATTCACAGAACAAGGTATTGCTGGTTCTTGACATAGGGTCATCATTTGTGCTCTTTCTTTTGCAGAATTCAAGTGCCATTTGATCCTGAGGAGAAGAAATTGAGCGTCCCTTACCAAATGCTGCTGCTTTTGGAACAGATGCAACGGGGCAAGCAAAAATCTGTGCACCCCCTGGATCTTGTCAAGTGTCTGGTGAAGCACAATATGAAATGTAAGGAGCAACTGGAAGGGGATGACCTTTGGCGCGACTGTGTCTCTCCTCCTCCGCATGATCTGGGCATGGAGAAAGGCTCCTCTGATGAACAGTGGCAAAACTTGGCAGGCTGTGTGCATTGGGTGACAAAGTGCGCGGAGTATTTGCTGGTGTGCATGGTGCACATGCATTCGCTTTTAATGAAGAACTTCTTCACACAGTGCATAGTGAAATGATGGAATCTGCTGGCACAGGATGTAGTGATGCCCATCCATTTGGATGGCTTCAAAAGGGGTTTGGACAAATTCGTGGAGGACAATTCGTTGATGACTGTGTGCTCCCTCCATTATCAAAGGCAGTGTCTCTGTACTTGTTTCTGAGCTGCTTGGGCAAGAGGAGATGGTTGTATTCTCATCCTGCTTGAGGGCTCCTGGGGGCAGTGGCTTTGCCACTGTGTGGATGGAATGCTGGACCACGTGGACTGTTGGTCTGATCCAGCATGGCTTTTCTTATGTCCTTCCCTTCTTGAAACTGGGAAGAAGACAGTGATGGAACGGCACTGAACATAACAGAATTGGGGAAGTTCATGGAGAGCTTTGTTGGTAAAGTCTCTTTCTCTGTTTTGTATCTAGTATTTGTTCTGCATGATGCTTCACAACTCTTCCTGCAGCTCTGGAACCTAATTAAGGACCAAATTGCCAATGAAGAGCTGGTGAGTGTCCAGTTTGGCAAGAAAAACATGCCATCATTGTGCTGTGTGCAGGCACAGTAAATTTATTTTGTGCAGCTCCTTGGTGGGAGGGAGTGTGGCCCATGGGCTGCATGTATTCCCTGGCCTTTTGTGTGGGCTCCAGCAGCTGCCAGATTTGAAGCTGCAGTGACAATAGGAAAACAATGAGTGGTCTGCTGCTGAATTTTGGTGGCAAAGTGATGGTGGTCCAAAAAGGCCAAAAGGGGTTTTTGCAGGAGACACAAGTCCTATGTGTGCCCTCACTTTTGCACTTGTTCCTGAAGAATATACATTTCTCCTGATGATCAAACAACAAAGTCAGTTACTTAGTGTTCTATCAGAGTGACACAAGAGAGTTGAAAATAGAAAACAGACAGTCAAAAGAAATCCGAATGTGTAAAGAAAAGCCTGGAGGTAGATGATTTGACACCAAATGTCATAAAAGTATAGGTCAAGCTAACTTTGTACAAAAAGCTGATGAATATTTCCTGCTGATTATGGTTTTCCTTTGTGCTAGATTGTCCTTCTTTTAATGAAAGTTTCTTGCTTTGACGTTTTCTGCTCCTAATCATTACAAAAAGCTAAATGTGTAACTTGGCTGTGCATGATGTCTGTGGCAGCTGATCCTGACTGGAGGCAGGCTCACTCTATATTGTTAGTGTGCACCTATAATAAATAGTTTTTTAATATATAAAACAATTTGCTGGCATTGCCTAGCTCTCTCACAGCCAGATGTTGAACAAGGCGGACTTTATTTTGGTCCTCAGCATTTCTGAGCTGCTACCTCCTTGGAAACTATAATTGTGATACCCTATTTCCCGAAGTAGTTGCCTTGAAAACTGTCAAAAATTATATTTCAAGTGGGATTTAGAAAAGGTTTCTTTTTTAATTTTTTGGCAGGAACTGTTAGAGCAACTGATTAAGACAGAATCTTGTTAACACTGCAAGGTTTTCTCACAGCAGTTCTCGAATCAAGAAAAGTTATCTGGGTGTCTTTGGATAAAGCTTTTAGTTATATTCACTGAAGGACATGCAGCTACAGATACAAAAGGAAGGATTCTGGGTGTTGGCTAAAGGGATACATTTCTAAATAGCTGAATGGCCATTTCAGTTTGTACTAAAGATTATCTATTTAATAGAGCATATGAGTATAAGGAAGATACAGTAAGGAATAGTGATATAAAATTTGATAAGAAGCAATCCGAAGACTTGAGACCAGATACTGAACTGTGACACTGTGAAGCAGTGAAGGCATGGAAAGGATCCTAGAGATACTAAAGCTATTGCATAACACTGACAACAAGCTTCACTGACTTCCAGTTCTCTTCTGCCCCTTTAAGGTTGAAAGACTGACTCGTCTGTATACCATCCAGCTGCAGGAATACCTGGTGTGTCAAAAGTGCTCGCTTAAAACAAGGAAAGACAGCCACATGGTGATGCTTCCCCTTCCCATGTTTGATGTTAATTTTCATCGAGTCAGGACTTTGGTATGTTTACAGGGTTTATAGCACTGTGATATGGTATATAAGCTATGGTCATGACTTGGCTAATGCATCTGGAGCTTTTAATTGTTGATTCTACTTTTGGTTTCATCACATAATTGAGATTCGAGCTCTTCACAGAGTTCTCCTTTTGGTGACATACAGGTATGTGAGGGGTGTCACACAGAGGTGGGTTGAGACCTGTTCTCCCCTGCAGAGGAAGGCAGGATGTGCTCCAACGGAGCAAAGCTCAGGGAACCCAGGTTCAATTTGGACACCAGGAAGTCCTTCCTGACAGTTAGGACTCCAAGGGTGTGGAATGGGCTTCCATGGGAGGTGGTTGAAGCCCCATCATTGAGGGTGTTCAAGGATAGCCTAGACATGCACATGGTAGGCATGTTGTGAGCGGAGCCGGCTAGAGCTGGGGATCAGACTAGATGGCCAGGGAGGTCCCTTCTGACTCTCTCTGTTTCTGTTTCCATTCATGCTGCATAACCCCTAGGGGGCAGTATCTATAGTGGAATAACACAATCACATGAGTAGGAAAATACATTTTTTCCTACTTCTATGAGTACTCATTTTTCCCTGCTCCAACCCCTGTGTCCCACCCCACCCCAAAGCACTGTTAAAAACAGAAGTGCAACTGGAGGGAAACATCATAATCTGAAGAACTTGAAAAAAAGCCATGGATGAGAAATCACAAATGCAGCATGAATGCCTCAGGTAGAACACCTTCTGGATGACCCAAGGTTGGGCAAGGAGACATGTGGTTGTCCTTCCTGTCCTGTTGAGGGCATGCTCAAAGCACACAATGAAGCTCTGGCCAGGAACCCTAGAAGAAAGGGGGCAAGGGAAAAAGGAGGCTAAACTCTGCTCCCTGAGATAATCGAGGTAGGTGCAGCCCATGTTTAGGACTCCATGATCGACTATGCCCTATCTTCCCCACCTGGAGTCCTACAGATGTTTTGGATGACAACTTCCAGAATTCCTGACTGTTGGCTGTTCTGGTTGGGGCTGATGGGAGTTGAAGTCCCAAGCATAGGGAGGGCACCACGGTGAGGATAGGTGATCTTCACTGTCTTGCTTGCTTTGCCTGTGGAGGTTAGCTGTGGGATCTAATGTGCGCAGGGGCAGACAGAATTGAGTTTGAGGATGTCAGACCCCAAACAGTAAGACTTTGATTCTTCTATCTTCCAGAAGAATGCTTTATATTCAATTTGTAAGAGCCCACATTGTGATTGATGACTACGTCATGAATGTATCACTTTGGGATTCCCTGATCATTTAATGCTTTCCATGATTGCCTGGAGAGCTAGAAGTGAGAAATGTGCTGGATCAGAGCTTGGTGCAGAGCTGTCCAGTACAGTTCTCTCTGATGCCTGGGTCAAAGCAGTGCCAGAATGGAAAGGCCATCTGCTCCCAAACTCCCTTGAGAAAGGATACGGTGCATGCATAGGAAATGATTGATAAACAGGGCTTACCACTATGCTGGAAAGAAAGTCTTATCAGGAATCGCATACAACAGTGACTGAAGCTGGGCATTTTCAACAAGTAATCAAAGTATACAATGTAAGGCGTAAGAACGTAAGAAACGCCCTGCTGGATCTGACCAAAGGTCCATCTGGTCCAGCACTCTGTACACGTGGTGGCAAACTGGCTGCCCACAGGATCCCTCAAGCAGGATGGGTGAAAGGCTTCCTCAGACCGGCTCCTCAGCAACTGGTCTGTACAGGCCTGCGGCCGCTGGTAAAGGAGGCAGCACATAGCCAGCAAGGCTAGTAGCTGCTGATAGCCACCTCCCTCATGGATCTGTTCAGTCCCTTTCTAAAGCCATCCAGATGGGCACTTCCCATGGCTGTGAATCCCATAGTTTAGCTATACGCTTTTTGAAGAAGTTCTTCCTTTTATCTGTCCTAAACCTCCCACCAAACAGCTCCATGAGATGATTGTGGGTTTGAGTGTTATGGGAGAGCGAGAAGAATGTCTCCCTCTTTACTTTTTCCACAGGGCATATATACCTTAGAGTAACCTTCCCCAACCTACTGACTGTAACATTCAGCTGCCCCTGAGTCCCCATTTCCCAGCAGCTGGCAGGGATTTATTTTTAAAGAAATGTTTATTAAAAGAACAATTATTATTATTATATTTATTATTATATTTATTATTATTATATTATTATTATAAATAAATTAGGTGTGTGTGTGGGGGTGGGTGGGTCTTAAAACACTACAACATGCAACACACATACCAGGTGAGAATTGGAGAGCAGCTGTTTCACTGGATTCACATCACTTGGCTCCCCTCAAGACCCCCAGGCCGGTTGGCCTCCTCGGACTGAACATAACGAAGCTAGCTGTTCCTGCCCCTAACACAGTGTACAATACCTAATGTAGCCTTCTTCCCATTCGAGTAGAGCAGTATTTCTCAACAGAGCCTCCGGCAGCAAGAGGAAACCTCTCTTCAAAAAAGAACTCTGGTCTCCCTCAGCTCCCTGCTTTTACAGTGGCGCCTCGTACATTGAACTTAATTCATTTCAGCAGGCCGTTCGAACTCTGAATTGTTCAAAGTCCATATCAGAAATAATGGAAAGTGAATTAATCCATTTCCAGGTGCTAAATGATACTAAATACAATAAAACGATCGAAAAGGTATGCATTGAAAAGACATGGAAAGCGATCGAAAACTTGGGCGCACAACAGATAGTGTTTCCACGACGACTGCATTTTTCTCACTGCACGTGCAGTTTGAACTTAGAAGCATTGTTCGAACTTTGGAATGATTTTATCTCAATTTTAGTGTTCTAGTTCTGTAATGTCTGAACTTAGGATCGTTCAAAGTATGAGGCACCGCTTATATCTAGTTAGATCAAACAGATGACTCCTTTGGTGACATCTCCTGACAGTACCCTGGCGAAAATTGTATGTCCTTCAGGCCTGTAATCTCTGGCCTTGCAGGGTGTGACTGGCTTTGTCCTCGGAAGTAATTTAGGATGTTTGGCATTCCCATTGCTATCAAACCTCCACCTTGGTGCCTAGTTTTCCTTGAGTTGCCATCTGGCTGAGGCGGCCTGGCTTTCATGCCCAGGGTTAACCCTTCAGCTCCTGGGAAGCGCTGAACTGGTTCTCCATTACAGTGGCCTCCAGACATCTTGGGACTACAGCTTCCATCAGCCAGCAAGCCATTGCCTGGGACTATGCTGGGAGTTGTAGGCTCATCACCACCACCCCTGTGAGTGCTTTTTTGGCAGAAAGGCAGGATATAAATAAAAATATAGTCCAGCATGTTTGGAGGCTGGGGAAGGCCGCCTTGTTGAGTTTAGATTAAACTGAAGGAAGGGAACAAGAATCTGAGTTAGTAGAACCTAATATCTGCTCTCTTTGCCTTATACAACCCTTCCCTGTGTTTCTAGGAAGATTCATTGCGCTGTTTCTTTGCACCAGAAGAGCTGACAGAGGAAAATACTTTTCACTGTGACCAGTGCCACAAGAAAACCTCATGTGTGCGGGTAATGCTGTTTTTTGGGGAAGCAGTGCAGTATTCTCTAGACATTGCTTTCTGGGAACTTCTTGCTGTTTCCATTTTGGGGTGGGGTTGTTTCAGGCATTCATATATTGTGTCCTTATGCTGGGAAAATCTGCAAGGCAGCTGTATGGCTGCATCTCCTGGATAAAGTCGGATAATGTGTTTGCTCAATGCGAGGCCCAAATGCAATGAAAGGAAAGGCATGGTGGTTCTTGTACTGGATCTCTTGCCCCTCCTTCCATTACAGTTCATGCCTGCCAGTCATTTTTTTCAGTCTTTGCCTTGCACTAATAGTGTGTATGTTGATTTTTGCAGAGCACGAAACTAACATCTTTGCCCCAGACTCTGATTTTGCACCTAATGCGCTTCTGCACCAAGGAGGGCAACAGGACGTGGAAGATCAGCCATTCCTTAGTCTTCCCACAGAGCCTCGATTTCAGCCAGATCCTGACAACAGAGCAGTATCACCCAGATGCCCAGAATCAGGTAGAGTTTACTTACAACATGGTCAGTCTGGCCTTAGGAGACATCGTGAAATGGGTTTGGTTGCTCCAGGTTTAGCAAGGGGTGCCTCACCTGGACTTCAGGAGTAAAAAGCAGCTCTTCGTAAGTATTCCCCCATCGCTGCATTTAAGACCCTGTGTCACAGAATAAGATGTGCACAGGCTTGGAATTTCAGCTGCCCCTTGAAAGCACTGCTTACTTCAGAGTAAGCTTACAATCTGTAAAGATTCTTTTTTGGCCTTGCTCACTCCTTCCTTCGGCCTATGCATATTTTCCTCCTGGCCTCACACACCCAGGGAGCAATACCGCCCCCACCTGGCCTGCTCCCTGCAGGCTATTCCCAGATTGGAATTTGCTCTTGGGCTGACAAAAGCCATGTGCATCCTTTACCTGGCTAGATGGTTTACTCAATGCAGCACCTTCTTTTCTTTGCACCTTGTTACGTGGCAGGGACAGACCCCAGGCTAGTATGACTTTTGGGCTCCAAGGTGATCACACTCTTGCTCCATGATCCATGCTGGAGAAAGAGATCTTTGTCTCCTTTCCTCATCTCTCTTCTCTCTGCTGAAATGCTCTTCCCCAGAACTGGGTCCCAGGAAGTCATAAGGACAGAAACCTGTGACATTCCCAGAGCTGCAGCAGACTGTTCCAGGCAAGGGCAGTGTGCTGCCCTCCGATGACTTGGCCAGAACGATCCGGCATTATGGAAGCACAAGGTTATAACCCCTGGTGCTTTCCTTATATAAACATTTTGACAAGAAACTAACACTGAACTTTGATAAACTTTTATTCTTTTAATGTGTTTTCCCAAAGAAACCACTGTTGGTTTGTAAGTTCTGTGATGCTTAGTGGTGACTTGTCTTGATCACTGTTCTCCCTCTCCTGGGTAGTCAGCTAAAATATATATGAGTGCTAGCTCAGGCTGGGAGGACTGTAGCAGGACTCTGGGTAATTCAGTGAGTTTTCAGGCAAGGCAGGGCTTAAAGCAAGGCTCTCCCAGCTTACGTTTTTAGTTGCTAGTGCTCATGGTTTGGTTGTAGGAGAAACACTGTTGGAGTAGTTAATCCTGATCAAGGAAGACAAAAAGATCCAAGTACATGGGAAAAGATGTTACACATTGGATCAGTAAAATGCAGCTTCCTCTGTTCCTGTGTTGGTCCATCCTTGACCCACTCATGGTCTGCAGTGCCGTTGACTCTAGCCTTCCCTAACGTTGGGCCTGCCAGGTGCCTTGGACTTCAGCTCCTGTCAGCCCCATGCAGCATGGCCGATGGTCAAGGTCATTGGAACTGCAAACCAAAACATCTTGATGGTACCAGGTCAAAGAAAGGAAACCTTCAAAGAGCAGGACCTGGTAGAGAAGACAGTTGAAAAGAAATGGGGTTATGATGTTAATAGTCAATCCTTGCTGGCAGCTAGCAGTATGAAGGGTTCTTTTTTTCCACTGCAGTTGACCCTCTGTCTCTGTCTCTGTGTGCTTCTTCCCAGGACGATGGGTTGTACGATCTCTTTGCGGTTGTGGCCCACTCAGGATCAGCTGACATTGGTCATTACTGCGCATACATCTGGAGCCTTATAAAACACAAATGGTATTGCTTCAATGACTCCAGTGTCTGTCCGGTGAGGAAGCCAGACCTGTCCCTCGTATTCTTCTCTGCTAGCAGTGAAGGTTCCTGCATGTATTGCTTAGCCTCTTAACTGGGAAAGGGAGCCGTAGGCACAGGATCTGTGCTTTTATCTCCTATCACTGACTGGAGATAACAGAGGGAGTCCTCCTTTTGAGAAAAGGGATTTCCTCTGTACATGGAGAGGCAGAGTGTGATGGCTCTCTTCTTCCTCACTGCCCATGGGGGGAAAGCATTGGGCCTCTCTGCAGAATCAAGCCAAGGACTGCTTCCTCTTTCTCGTGGCACTTCATCTCCTCAAGTGCCAGCCAGCATGGCCAACTGCCCAGAATTATGGGAGTTTTAGTTCAAAATATTCGTAGGGCACTAGGTTGCCTCTCTTTCTGTAGGCCAACATTCCTCAAGCTGCATACAGAAAATAGCATCTCCCCTGTCTCCTCTGTGCTAAGACAGACAGGGAGTGACTCTGCCTGCACACAGAATGCCACATCTGTGTCTTTCTCTGCTTGCAGAAACAGTGGGTGGCATCAAAGCGAAGGAGCTCTGGGGCAGGGAATACCCTATAATGCTGTCTGGGCCTTGTGGGGTGAGCAGCAGAGTTGCTGTTCCAGCCCCCACAGGGCTTCTCTACAGCAGGCATTTGTGGTGCATTCTGATTTCTCACTCACAGGAGTTTGTAGGTGCTTTTTGTGATGTTGTCACTCTCCAGGGCCTCTCCTGTGCTTTGCAACCATGTTGCAGCTTTTTTTTTAAGATCAAGGGAAGTGTGGTATTAATTGGACATTGCACTATGAGATGCTTGAGTATTTTTGTAATTGTGCTAGACTGAAGCACCCCCTTGTGGCTGTGTAATGAAACATGGAAAGGCAGATAAAGGACCCCCCCCCCTCAAAAAACCCCCACATGTGAAAGAGCCAGTCTTAATCCTACCAAGAATCTGGACACTGAAGCCTTGGTAAAGTGGAAGATTACACTATTTCAGCAGGGAAGGCCAAAGGATAGCTAAATCTAGTTCCAGCAGTGTATGAAAAAAGTGTAATTTTAGTTCTGTGTATTGTTGTACTTTCACAATGGATCTGACTGGGGTTTTGAATAATTGTGCTGAACATGTTCACTCGGCAGGTATCTTGGGATGATGTCAAATGTACCTATGGAAAAGCACATCTCCACTGGTAAGGAAGAATACTTCCTCTTTCTCCTGGAATAGGAGAGGTGATGGCTGTGGTGAAGCCATTAGGCCAGTCTTCCTCACCTGGTGCCTCTTGCTCTCTTGGACTATCCCACTCTCTCCCCAGCAAGCAGCGCACCAGGATAGGGAGAGCTGCATTAGATTCATGGCTGGCTCTGTGAAAAGAGAATCAAATCATTACATTTCATTTTGGAATGAACAGATCGGAAGGCAGATGTGGGCTGTAATTTCACAGGCTTTCTCTTGAGGCCTGCATGCTTCCACTCAAGTCATTCTTTCAGTTCAGCCATTTACATGGAAAATCAGTTACAATAATTGTCTTTGAGGGGCTAAGTACAGATTACAAGCTGTTACCATCTCTTGTCTCCCTTTATTTTTTGTATTCTCTGACTAAAGAGGATGCAGTGTGAAGTGTGTGCCTGGATAGGCCTGGATCTCTGCTTGACTTCAGTTGTTGGCCGTGTTTACAAGGGAGACAGCCTTTTTCTCCCTTCCTTCATCTTCTATTGCATTGCACAACTGTCCTGAATGGAATTTGGTAGCTCAGTGCTAGGTCAAATGCTTTATGATTTAATCTCTGGTGTCTTCCTCTTGCAAGGAATTCAAGGCAGCGTACATGGTCCCCCTTTTCATTTCATTCTCACAACAATCCTGGGAGGCCGGTTCAGCACAGGGTCACAAGATTGGGAGCTGGGTTGGGAGAGATGACATATGAGGAGAGATTGAGGGGGCTGGGTCCTTTCAGTCTGGAGAAAAGGATGCTCCGAGGGGATCTTTTAGTGACTTTATAGGTATGGGAGGAGATGTCAAGTGGAGGAGGGCTATGACATGGCTTTTGGATGTGCTTTCTCCATCAACTTTCTGCTCTTTTTTTCTCAATCCTGTAGGGGAGAAACAGCCTATCTCCTGGTTTACTTGAAAAGGAACTGCAACGAGCTCTACTTTGATCCTTGATATTTCCAGGCAACTAGAGAGATGCTCCAGTTGGTAGTTCCAGAGTTGTCACAGACCCTAGCAAGATCTTTGACTTTTTATCCATATCAGTGCAGAAGAATGTAAGGGACAGTGTGAAAGACAGGAAGGAGGATCAGGAATAATACTGCCTCCTGGAAGATTTGCTGAAAAGCAAGGAAGCATATTTCTTTGCAAACACTTCTGGAAAGCCGAGTAGCCTTATCTCCAGGAAGAACTTGTGTCTGGCTGCTATAGAAGGCATGACTATTATTTTTGCATAAGGAGAATGTTGTAGTAGCTTGTGTCTGTGGAAGATGGAACTGCATTTCAAACTGATTTCTTTGAACCAGTCCAATTACCTTCTTGAATTCTTTTTAAGGCATGTGACTTTGGAAGCATTCTAACAATCAAAACCCTCCCTAAACCACTTTCCCAAGAGACAAGGGAATTGTAGCTTGCTGAGGATGCTAAGAATTATTTTAAGAGATCCCCATTCCTTCTCCTCCTACTTTAACAAAACTGGTCCCCAGGATATCCTGGACAGAAGCATGGACAATTTAAACAAGCTGTTCTGTAGCAGAGAACTGCTGTTGAATTTGCTGACACAGACCCACAGATACAGATATTGTTGACACATGATTTGAGAGGGACCCCTGTCTTTTGTAAAGCGGCCTACTTTTCAAGAAGTGGGAAGCAGGCAAAGCAAGAGCCATGGGGCACCCAGCTCTAGTGCAGTAATAGTTGACCGATCCAAGAAATACAGTGGCTGCCACCTACTATGAAAACCAGCCCCACTCTTCGGTCTCCTGGGGACATGTATCAGCCCTGGGGCCTTTACTTACGGTGAGCCCAATGTTCTTACTGCCATCTCTGCATTGTTAGTAGGTTTTTAAATCACTTTAAAAATCTTTTAAAAAATTACCAGACAGCCTGCAGTAGGCATCTGTGGTCCCCATCCTGCATTGTGAGGTAACTGACATTGCCCTGGCTCACATTCTGTAGTGCAGTTTACTCATAAGCAGCCCTACAGACTTGTACTATGACATTGTCACAAACTGCCTAGTCTGAAACATTCTGAAATTCCAGCCTCTCACCTTTTATGTCTTTTTCCCTTATAAACCAAAGTGTGCCCAAGGCTCAAAAAGGCACAGTTACTTTATATTTAAAATGTTATTGGTTTTTACTGTGTTTTTATTGTGTTTTTTTCTTGTAATTGTGAGCTGCCCAGAGGTGCCGTGGCACAATTGGGTGCCATACAAATGTTTTAAATAAATAAATAAATAAATAAATAAATAAATAAATAAATAAATGTGCCACAGAATCTCCATAGGGGTATTATTATATCCCCCCAAAAAGGCCGCAAACAAAGAAACAAAAGAAAGTTCAGCAAGATCACTTGGGTCTCTTTTTAAAGCTAAAATCTTCAGGAATCTGAGTCAAAATCTGTTTTGAAACTTTGCTATGATATTTTTCAAGTTGGTGGAACAACCTATTGGTATGAAAAGAAAAAGTTAATTCACTAAGCATTGTTAAATAGATTTTCTTGTTTTGCCTAGCTTCCAGAAGGATTAAACCTGTGTTCCCTGAGAAGCAGAAGTTAGTCTTATTTGACTGATACCTTCTGGGAGACAATTTCAGCCTGAACAAAGGCTTTTCATTTGCAGAATTTTTCTTGTCTGAGGAACTTTTCATCAGGGAACAAAAATAACCCCAAATGCAATTAAGAACTAGAGACAAGGACATTATATACTCTAAATGGATGTAAACATGAGTAATGCAACATTAAGGACCATGAAGTCCATCCTGTTTTGTATTTAAGTATCTGGTCAGATAGGGATGCAGGTGGCACAGTGGTTTAAACTGCTGTGCTGTTGGGCTGGGTGATCGAAAGGTTGCCGGTTCGAATTTGCACAAGGGAGTGAGTTCCCGTGCTCCGTCCCAGTTCCTGCCAACCTTGCAGTTCAAAAGCATGCAAATACAAGTAGATAAAAAGGTACCACTTCGGTGGGCAGGTAACAGCGTTCCGTGCACTTTGGTGTTTAATCATGCCGGCCACGTGACCATGGAGACTGTCTGCAGACAAACTCTGGCTCCCTCGGCTAGGAAACGGAGATGAGCACCGCCCCCTAGAGTCAGACATGACTGGACTTAACGACAAGGGGAAACCTTTACCTTTACCTTTATCTGGTCAGATAATTAGCAAATTCTTAGCATAAGGTAGTAGCTACTGTTGGTTAAAGTAGACTTGGTGAAATGGAGTCCTTTTCATTTTGATGGGTCTACTCTTACATATGACTAACATCCTGGATACTACCTTTAAATTAAAGCTGTGTGGGATCTCTGTTAGTTTCATGTTTATTTTTATCCTTTTATTTCAACATGAATGTGCAAATCTATGCTTTCTGTAAACCAAGAAACATATTTAATGAGTACGTATTCTATTTAATGCAGAACTTTGCCTGAAAATAAAACATTTTAAATTATTATGAAGGAGATGTACTGTTGTCAATTTCCTTATTTTCACTGAGGAACACATGTTTCTATCTATTGCTGGGCAGTGCCTTTATTGGGACTAACCAAAGTGTCATAACTTTTGAATTTCCAGAGCTCTGGATATTAAGTCTTTCGTGTTGAATTCACAATAATGGACTCCAGTAACAACTCCAGTGCTGCAGTAACACTGGGAAAATTAATCTTATGTGTATGCTCCATAAATTGTGTTCAGTAACAAGAATAGGTTCAGGCCACAGTCCTGGGGACTTACTGGGATGTTAACTGGTCCTGGGGTGCTTCCTACTTGTTCCAAGAAGTCACACAAAATGGGGTGTGTGTGGGTGGGTGGTGTGGAATTCTGGGCTGTACCGTTCTGGGGGAAGAGATTCCTAAACTATACCATTTCTTCCCCACACCCCATGTTTTAATGTCCTCCAGTTGTATGTATGTGTTTCAAGAGGCCCTTAAAGGACTAGAATGTATGGCAGAGAAACAGTTGCACAATAAAACTCTCAGTGCAAACGTATTTTCTCTGATGTACAGTTGTCTTTGTCTTGATGGAGGCAGCATTGATGCTCAGTTTATTTCCAGTTTATGGATCAATTGTAAGAAGTTTAAAAGGCATTACAGTATAACCAAGTCATTTTAAGGCAGAATGCGCCATAAGGTTTTGCTTATATATAAAAGTAATATAGATAACATCAGATATTATAGATAGGTATAGGAGAGATAGTGGACAGGGTAAATTTCTGGTTTTGTGGGCCTAGGTGGAACCAGAGTAAATTTCAGGAAGTAATAGTTTGGTAGCAGAATTATTTTCTTTTACTAAAGAAAAAAGCCAATTGCTGAAATCTTGTGGTTGATGCATTTTGTTTTTAGATATGCGGTCAACTGCTGGTTACAGAAACAGGATGCTTAAAGAGAAGCTGGTGATATTTTTGACTTTCTTTGGAATTAACAAAGGCCTCAGCACTGATGTTAATAGATGGGAGCCACTTAAATTTTGGTATTCTACATGCGGCATTTATCTTGTGTTCATCATTCTCTTCTTCTTGTTTATGGGTCCTTTAGGCAACCTCGTGACTCTCCAGTTTTGCTTCTATGCCAAATAAGCATGTGCAATAAGTGGTCAACTGTTTTTGTTGCTGCTTTTGCAGATAAGTCTTCTCCAAGTTATGACAGCCCTCAGCATGAACGCTTTCCAAAATGCCCCATCTTTGACAGGCCTGCTCTGCTCTTGTCCAAATATGACAGACTCAGTTTTGTCATGTTTGCTTCTAGGGAAATCTTTGACTCGCCATGGCCTAGGACTCACTTGCTCATCTTTCAGCTGGTCCAGGGTATTGTAAAGCTCTCTTCCAGCATCATGTTTCAAATGCATCAATTTTCTTCCAGCTCATAGTGTTTGGGACTACAATGGCGTCAATGACCTTGGCCTTGGTCTCCAATAAAACTCCTTATTTGATGATCTACAGTCAAATGCCTCAAACACAACACAAAAAAAGTTTTCAGCTTGGTGCCTGTTTAATAAAATGGTACTTGTTCATTGGCAGACAGTCAGCAATGAAGGCACAAGATGGACCTACCTTAAATGGAATTTCAGAGCCCATCCACATGATACCCTAATATTGGCAAGATGGAAAGAAGGGCACTGCCTTAGGTTTCTGTGCTGACTGAGCACCAGCTGGGGTTTTGAATCACGCGGAATAATTTGATGCTGATCACAAATAATGGCCACTTCACTGCTCAGTCTTGATTCTGGATCATTTATGAACTTGTTACAAAGACCAGATCATAATGCAGGTCTTTTGGGGGACCCCACTGTTTACATCCCTCCATTGTAGGAACTTTACTACCTGCCTTTTGTTCTTTAACCAGATAGTAAGTCATAGGAAAACCCTCAGTCTTATCCCATGACAAACTCAGGAGCCTTTGGTAAGGGACCTCGTCAACACTTTTTGAATATGCAGAATTTGGTGGATTTGCATTCTTGTTGACAGTCTCAATAGTCTTAAAAGGTTAGTAGCTGATTGCTTGATCATGGTTGGCTTGATAGCACAGCCAGAGACTGAGCAGCTTTGCAGGCTTCCTAGGAACGTTACATTATGAAGTGTCGGGATAACAGGTGAAAGAAGACTTGTGGGAAGTCCTCCAGACACAGCAAAGAGTCTTTCTGAAGGTTGATACGGTGGCAATGGAGCCGTCCAACGGATTCACCTGTGTGTTCTAGCCAAGCATTTATGAATGGTGAAGGGGTTCTTGCAAGCTGTCCCTAATGACATCGAAGGTCCATCTACAACCCACTGACATATAATGGGCACTTTGCAGATAAAGTCACTCATGTTGTTTCCAGTATGGATCCTGTTTTGCAGTCTTCAGGCTTCTTGGCATGAGGCATTTAGCCTGGCACTTTACTGAGACTTCTTCTTCTATTTTTCTATGTGCCCTTTTAGAGGAGCACTTTTCCCCATGTGTTTTCCATCTGTCTTTCTAGCTGTTCCTATATGTTTCACTTTACAATGCTCACTTGTTTGGAAAAAGCAAACAAGAAGAGCAAGGAGGTTCGCCTCACAGCCAAATAGGGACTAGAACTTGGATCTCCCGGGTCCTCACGCCAACACTCTAACCCCCACACCACACTGGATCTTTGGAGCATTGTCCAAGTTAAAAAATTTTTAGAGCACTCTGAGTACTCTGCAGGTACTTATAGGATCCTCTTATAATATCTATAATATCTTGCTCCACCACAAGCATGGCAAAGCATTTAGCTACTCCAAATCATTAGTTAACACTAGAAGGATCAGACTCCAAATGATTTATCGCAGCATCTGGGGAATAGATGCTAAATCTGAGCTCAGGGATTTTGTCACCATGATTCATTGTCTTGCCACAATCTTTGCTAAGGGCCATCATTTCAAGTGCTTATTTGGGCCTTTGCTGCTTGCTCAGATTTCAACAGGCTTCTGTGAAAGGGATTGCTTCAGTGACGGGGTGTGTTGAAGCGAGTGTGTGTTGAACAAACTAACTGACTTGGTAAGGCATGAGAGAGGAGTGGCAAAACATTCTGAAAAAACCGAAGAGATGGTGGGAACATGCAATATAACGCACCAGAGTCTTCAGAAAATATCAGTATTATTAGCCCAACTCATATTTGGAGAAGTTATAAACTCAACATTACTTTCTCATGGCAAATAACAGGTGTGCATGGATTGGGGAAAAGAGGTAGCCCTTCCTCGGTGGGAGGGGGGGTGTCTTTATGAGAGTTCCCCAGGAAAAAGAAGAATTGAAACACTGCAACAGCCAGGGTAACATTCCTGATACCACCTGGTCTGCTCAGGGTTTTCTGAGCCCTATTATGATAACCCATCGGGAAGTTATAAGAGGTAAGGTGCTTTAAATCTTGCTCAAAGTCCAAAATAGCTGGACTTAAAAAATTCCTCTTGAAAATCCTACCCCTGCCTCCAGAAATGATATTTCTACCAGTGCTCACATGGGAAAGAGTTTAGTGAGATTTCCTTTTAAAACAATGCAGCTGAAAGGCCACATATTCAATATTAACTTCCCCCTATCCTCAATCCTATTTGAAGCTGCTATGTTAGATTCAAAAGTGCCCTTCTTTGGAGGTTTCATCTGAAGCTCTGTTGTTCAAGGAAAAGAACGTTTTGCTTCAGTCTGATGTTTTCAATCCATTTTCATTTGTCCTGGCAGCCACCTTTTCCTTCCCACTGCCCCGCCAGGGATCGTGTAACAAAAAGGGTAATATTAAAATGCCACTTAGCCAATCAGTTGTAGCTTCATGATGATATAACTAAGGGCAAGTAAGAGCATATGAACACACACACACACACACACACGAGTGTGGAAAATTTCTCAGAAATGAGAGACCTTTTAAAGCACTGCCAGAAATGTTTGGAAAAAGCAAGCAAGAAGAGCAAGAAGGCTTGGCTGAGTTCTGTTAGGAATAACAAACTGGATGCAATTTGATTACAGCTTCAGAGCTAAGGAAGCCTCTAAACCTGGGTGTGGAACCTCAGGTCTGGAGGCCAAATCCTGCCCTTGTGGGGTCCTAATCCAGGCCACTGGAGTTCTGCAGGTGCCTATGTCCTCTTTCCCCCAGTCTTTTCATGTTTACTGGCTTTTGTGCAGGTTTTTCCCCATTCTGAAAGGTTGAAATGTCTCAATTAAGGCTACATCATTCGAAATAGGTGCTTTAAGGCACATTTCTATTTGAGTTCCCATAAATTCTGAACTCAGGCTTATGAGCACCCCAGAGAGGAGCAGTGCTTCTGCTCCCCACCCTGCATTTCCCAATAGACAGGCTTTTCCCTGAATCCAGATGAGGTGGAGAGAAACAGCTGGAATGGATGCAGTGCCCTGGCCTCTCCAGTCTCCTGAAACACCGTCTCTTCTCCCTCCCTGAGCTTGTGTTCCTGAGCTTAGAGAGGTGGCTGGTGCAGGGCTTTCCATGCAGGTTGCATTGAATGGGAAGATTGGCTCCTTGATTCTTCTCTCTTGCTGTCTTCAGCCTTGGAGCTAGGAATCCAGTCTCTCCCATGGCTCCTCAGATGCTATTTTGCCCTCCATTGAAAGAGTGCTCAGTCCAAGTTTCATATAAAATGAAGAACTTCCCAGAAGAAGGAGATGTAACTTGCAATATATAAGTCTTGTGCAAATGTGTGCCCTCTTTTTTGGTGTTACATTTCCTCTGTTTTGGTTATTCAGAGGTAGTTCCCTTATCCATAACATAAATGATGCTTATTTACTGGCCAAACATGATGCCCTACAGAGCAGATTTCCAGTTTTGCTAGAATTTTGAGATCCGGCAACTTGAGCCATCTGCAAATAATGGCTCAGATGGGCAAACATGTGCTATGAATTAGGGAAAAGGGTGTTCCAAGCAGATGCAGAACTCAGGAAATACCAGAGACTAACTCACAAGACCATCCATGCAAATATCCACTTCTTGTCCCCAGCACATTTCAGCAACCTAATTGAGGAGTTGAATGCATCTCAGTCCTTGTCACCCTTACACATGATCAAATCTCACGCTCATCATGCAAATGACTTGGTGATGTAGCAACAGATTCCAATCTGCCTTCTGTGTGGGGCTGGTGGAGAGATTATACATTCATTCCATCTAATCTTCTTGAAGGAGAACCTGAAAAGAGCCAGTGTGGTGTAGTGGTTAAGAGCATGGGACTGGGACTCGGACGATCTGGGTTCTAGTCCCTGCTCGGCCATGGAGCCAACTGGGTGACTTTGGGCCAGTCACAGACTCTCAGCCCAACCTACCTCATAGGGTTGTTGTTGTGGGGATAAGATGGAGGAGAAGAGATGATGTAAGCTGCCTTGAGCCCTTTGTAGGAAAAAGGCAGGATATAAATCGAAAAATAAATTAAAAATAAATAAATAAATAAATAAATAAATAAAAAGGGAGAAAGGAGAGACAGAGAGAAGGTATTACCTTCAGATGCATTTCCATTTTTTTGTTTGGCTTCCTGTCATTGACAGCAAATGAGTGGGTGGTTAGGCAAGGAGGTTATTTTTGATGTAAGTCCCTGGGAGGGGGGGCTACTTTTTGTGCAGAATGTCCCTACAGAGAGATTAGAAGAGAGGAGAAATGGAGACCTACCTGGAGCAAAGTGACAAGGCAAAAACGCCCATCCTAGGGTTGGGTACATGGCAGGTAATGTATGGAATAGCTAATATTTCATATATGCTGGCATTTTGTCTGCCTGTATAGAACATTTGCAGGAGAAATGCTTGGCTTGTTATGTTTTGACTTCCTGTTGTGTAACGGATTAGCAGATATTTAAGATGGCACCACCCAGCTCTCTCTCTGTTCATGGTTGGTTAAAAAATATTTGCCTTTGGGTGAGAGAGAGAGAGAAAAGGCTCACATGGCTGTTGTATACAGCAGGTGTTGGGCAGATATAGAAAAATAAAAACAATTTCAAACCTGAAAATTGAACGACACTAATAGGATGAGTGCAGGAGAACAACCTGAAAAATGTAGGACATGTTTCACAGAAAGTGCAACCTGCTGAAATAATTTGGTTATGTGTGGCATTGAACATTTTGGCATAACTCTTACATTTGTTGTGGGAATCAGGCATTATGTGGTCATATGCTAACATATTAATTCTGTGAAGGTAGTACCCATAATCATCTTCATTCTACTACCCTCTTCTATGTACATTGCAACTGGTTTATTCATTTCCCAGTCTTTAATTGTCTGAAATGCTGTTTAGAGAAGGCAAGGTAATCCAAAGCGAGGCATCATTTGTCTGCAATTGCTGTTGAATAATTGGCACCTTTTGGACTCCCCTCCTGCAGCCTACAGTCTTTATTCAACAGCCATGCACTTTAAGAGAGTTCTGTTGCCGGCGCACAATTTTACAAAGTACCCAATTCATGTAAATAGGAGGAACCCAATGAAGCCCTTTTGCTGGTAGAAATGCTTGTGCTAGTGGAGTGGGGAGGGGGCCAGTTCTCCCTTCCCTCTGTCACCACACAAAACTATTCTGGCCAACCGTGACAGACTAGGGATAATATTTAGGTAAAGGAGAGGAAGATGAAAAAGTCCCATCATCCAAGTGGACTTATGCAACATTCATTCATTTAATCAATTTATACCCCCGCCTTTTTCCTTTCAAGGAACTCAAGGCAGCTTGCATATTTCTTCTCCTCTCAATCTTCTCCTCACAACAACAACCCAGCTAGGAAGGCTGTGAGAGGCTGTGCCTGAGAGTCTGTGCCTGGCCCAAAGTCACCCAGTTGGCTCCAGGGCTGAGTGGGGATTAGAACCCAGTTCACCTGAGTCCTGGTCCCATGATCTTAACCTCTACACCACACTGGCTCTCAAAACATTGGACTTTGCCCTGTAAGGGCTACACTGTTTACAGGTACAATCCCATGAACATTTAGACAGGGAAAAAGTCCTACAACTCCCAGCATGCCCAGCATTTTTTCCTGTTTAAAAGTGCATAGGACAGTGCCCTGAATTGGTCAGCTATGGAGTAGTGATTCCTGACAGTGAAGTGATGGAGAACATGGGCAAGACAAGGAGAAGTACTAAGATAGGCCCCTTTTCATACACTCACAGGGTGATCACAAAACCGCAGCAGTGTGTTAACCACACTCTCCATGGTGGTTGCACATTGGCAGAATCACCTTGTCTTGTGGTTTCTGAATCAGGTGAGGGCGGCTTGGTGGCATCATGAATAAACCATGTTGTGTGCCAGGTCACCCCCGCTTCACACGTCCAAAACTCACACCGTTCTTTGGCAAAAGCTCCTAATTCCTCAATGCTCTTCCTGTACACACAACCAACAAACATGAGTCTCTGAGTATGCAGATTGCCGTTCGTTGAGCCCAATCTAGCAACTACTCCTGAGCATTCTCCTTTCAAGGACCCCTGGGGCCCCTCTCTCAGGAACGTCATTTTTGGAGATGGGTGAGCCTCTTTCCTGCCTTTCACCCCTCTAGCTGGTGAGGCTGTCCCTCCTGAAGTCACATCCTGGGGTCAAGAGTCACGCCAGGCTCGACTGGCTGCAGGAGTTCTCCTCCTATGACACCCCCACCCCCTGCTGAAGTGGTGAGCCCTGACCTTTAGCTAAGCCCATCTGCTTCTCTCATTTCGACAGCTGAGAATTCCAGTTCTCAGGGCCCCTTGAATAGTGCACTAGTGAGATGTTTCTAGTGAGCTAATTCACAGTGTTCCGCTCATGGACCTGTAGGCAGACCTGGCAAGAAACCTTTCTATTTTATGGCCTTTGTCCTTCTCTGCGAGAAGTAGACCCCTCTCTAGGTTCATGGACCAGAAACGGCATTCCAGAGTGGTGATACTTCCTGGTATAGCCTACACTGGAGGTCCTTCTTCATTCCTGAGACACTCCCCACACGTGAAAACTGCCCAGTAGGCACATGTGGCTTGCTTCCAGCCCACCCAAGTGTCAAGGCCTTTGCAGAAAACTTCAAAAAGCTACCACTGCAGCTAAATTGCAAAAAAAGTACTTTAAAATCCTTGAACCTAACTTCCCTTCGCTTTCAGTCTCCTTTAGGGAAAGCGGGAGAGGCCGTGAGACTGGCGATTGCTATCGGATACCGACACTTTGATTGTGCCCATGTCTACGAGAATGAAGAGGAGATCGGAGATGCAATCCAGAAAAAGATACGGGAACAGAGTGTGGCATGAGAACATCTCTTTATAGTCAGTAAAGTACAGCCATGCAGACAACTACAAATCCACAGGGAGATCCACATTTTGTAGAAAAACAACAACAAGCTGTCTTTTTGTGCTTAGAACACACACTCCCATGCTCCTCTAGAGCTCTCCATGCTCCAAGAAATCTCCATTCATTCAAGTGGAGACAGCAGAACTTGGGCAAATTCCCTTGCACTTGAACACACCTGATCTCCATTTGTATCGAATAAAAGCTCTCCCTGAGTGCATCAGATAACATGCGGAGCGTTCACAGCCTTAGCAAAAAGTTTCTCACCTACGGATGGAAGCTAGGCATTTCCAGATAAAATAAAACATTGTTTGTAGCATTTCTATACTATTATAATTGCTAGGGAAAGCTGAAGGCACAAATAGTGGAGGAATATCAAATAGGATTGCCTGGAGTTGGCAAGAGCTGAGCAGGGCTGTCAAGGGCAGGACACCCGGCAGGGCAGTCCATTTGAGGGAAACCAGGTTGGATTTCCCAGTTATCAGCTGCACATTCCTACAAGTAAACAGACCAAGTCTCAGATCTGGAAACTGCCAATCAGTAGCAGCAGCAGGGGGCTGGACCCGATGGCCTTCATGACCCCTGCCAGCTCCACTATTCTATGATTGTAGGAATTTGGCTTCAGTTTATTGACCCTTATTCAAGCCATCACCATATCTAGGCACTGGATCAGAATGTGCTCAGCTCTCCTAGTTCACATGCCCTGCAGGGACAGAACTGGCTGTCGTCAGCATGCTGGTGACATCTTGTCCACAAGTACTGTATGCAACTGAGCTTCTCCAACTTGGGTTGTACCCGATAATTGCCAGGGTGGACATGAGATTCCATAGGATGAGTGGCAGATCCATGTGGAATAATTCTGGGACTCTTATTTGGGAAACATGGTGGTTGTTTTGCAGCTCTGGTGCATGTTTCATGAGAAATCCTTGGTGAAGGGAGCATGTGAAAGAACCCTGGCATCTCTAAAGGTGGATTATTTGGATCTCTACCTCATGCTTTCTCTGCGGTGGCGCCCAATCTATGGAATGTGCTCCCCAGAGAGGTCCGCCTGGCGCCGTCATTATTTGTTTTTCGGCGCCAGGCGAAGACCTTTTTATTTAAACGTCATTTTAATTGTTAATATTATTTGCTTATTTTATCTGGCCAGGGCGACTTATTTTATATTGTTAATTTGTTTTATATTTTTAATGTATTATATTTTAATTTATGTTGTGAGCCGCCCCGAGGCTTCGGCAAATGGGGCGGCATAGAAATGTTTTAAATAAATAAATAAATAAATAAAATGCACTGGCCCATGGGATTCAAGGTACTGTAACGGAGTTCCTCTTTCTCTATGCATTTATTATAGTTATTTATATCTGCCCTTTCAAGATATAAATCCTTTCAAGGGTGAATTCCACGGAACAGCAACAAACAGCAACACAATCACAATTAGCAATACTTTGCAAAGAACAAGAAGTGATATGATCCTTCCCACAGGGCAGATTTTATGGATGTGGCTAGTTTTCCCATCTTGCAAAGAACCCAGAGTGGTGTACATGATCTGTTCCCTCTCCATTTATCTTCACAACAACCCTTGGAGGAGGTCAGTGAGTGGCCTTGAGTCACCCAGTGAGCTCCATGATTGAGCACGGACTAGGATCTAGATCTCCCAAGTCCTAGTTTAACCCTCTAATCACTATACTGCACTGCCTCCTTCAAATGGTGGTAGATGGCCCTGGGGAGAAAGGAGAAATCCAACTAGAACAGAACCTGTGATAGTAATTCTCCTGCTGACCTCCTTCTCCCATTCTGAATCTGTGAACACTTTGCTAATTTGTCTTTTTGTTTGTAAGCTCTATTCCGATCATCAGAAAGACAGTTAACTCATTACCCATTATGAGAAAATCTGCCAATTTGTCCGGCTTTCTGCCAACACACAGATTCAGATTATGCTCAGGCACTGTTAATTAACTGTGTGTGCATTGCCCCCTTAAATGCAGCCAAACCATCAGACTTCCCGTTTCTTTTCTTCCTTTGTCCTTGGAGAAGAGTCCAGCCCAAGTGCCATAAAGAATCCATTTAATTTACCAGCATATTTTGGAGACTGAGTTCCTTTATCAAAATTATAATTCCATAATCAAGGTCCCAACACAGATTTTACACTTCTTCTTTGCCTCGATATAATAGCCAATCTACTATCATTCCTTCCTCCCAGGAATATTAAATTAGACGTGTTATGGACCCAAATGCCTGGAACCTACACGTGGGCCTTTAAGCCATGGTCAGTGGCTTTCAGCTGGTGCGGAAGGGGAGCACTAAGCAGTGCATTAAGTGCATGATGGAGAAGTTGGTTACATCCTGGATGAACCTACCTGGCTGAGTCAGGCGTGCAGGACATGGCTGGCTGCTACAAAGCCTGCGGAGGCCATTTATCCACTCCTGAGCATCAGCCAGGACTTCAAAGCGTCTGTCCTTGGTCCGGAACTCTAAGCAACCCTAGTTCCAGAACCTGGGCAGCTCCTTAAAAACTCAGACTGCAACCTGGAGCGGGTAAACCACCCAGCTTATGTGGGGAGCCAGCAAGCTGCACTGCAAGCTACACCAGCCTGAACGGGAAGTTGCTGCAGGGAATGAGCAAGCGCAGGGCACACCACACACCGCCGTGGCAACATGACAGTGCCCAGTGTTCCCGCTTCAAACATGTTGCCAGAAGAGGGGGAAGCGAGTAATGGGGAGCTCTTTTGCATTAGCTTAGGTGCGGAAGCCCTTGCAGCCCAAGGGCTGAATTCCATCTCGGAGATGCTCTCCATTCCAGTGGCGGTTGGGGAACCTCTCGGGAACCTACTGCAGCTGAAAGCTCTTGGTGCCAGGAAGAGGCATTTCAGCCTTTCAGGATGGTGGCATGGGAATTGTGCAAAAATTGGGTGGCCACAAAGCAATCCACGGCGAAGGGGGAAAGGGTGGGGCTGGAGGAAAGGGCAGGGCCTTGTGTGGAGCCTTGGGGCAGTGAGGGGCCTCTGGGCTTGAGGTGCTGCAAGCCTGCATAAGAAAAGAAAAGGCTTGGAAACGATTACGATTAAGCTCTTTTGCTTCCAACAGGCTGGAGAGAAGCTTTTTCCTGAAGATGAGAATGGTATATTACCAAGTGATACAGATTTTCTGGACACATGGGAGCTAAACTTGGGGCCCCTCCTTGCTTTCTCTGTTTAGTTCCACACCTTTGATTTTGGGTTAAGCTACAGTGTGACCAAGACTCTGGGTGGTAGTCTGAGCTTTTAAGAAGGTATCTATGGCATTGAACCTGCTTGGGGAACAAGATTCCATCCTTTCAGACTAAAACCCAGAGTGGATACCCCCCCCACCATTGTCTTTGGAGCCACTGGGTATGCCTCCCATAGGCAGTTGCCCCTGCGAACTTCCTAGTATTAGACAGCTGAGAGTGAGGAGCACATTTTACTTAATTTTCTCCTCTACAAATTCCTGAAATGGGAATTCAAGCAGGTCCACTGATGTTTGCATGAGCAAGTCCAATTTCTCTCATTAAGTCACGGTTAGGATAATTTCCTTGCAGATTGTGCCAGAGGAATTTTTCATGAGCAGATGGCTTCTTTTGCAGAGCAGAAGCTGAATTGTCGTGGTCCCGATCTATCCAACTTATCTGGTGGTCAGTTTTTAAGTGCAGGAACTCCTCCTGACAGCTCCATAGCTCTGACCTCAGGAAAGGCGGCTGAGTTGGCCCATGTCCACAAATGAATTCTAGCAGTTCACCTCTATTAGGAGCAGCTCTCTTAGGAAGCCATTGGCTCTAAATTTCCCATTCAGTTTTAGGCCACTCCCAAATACTTGGCATTACAACGGGGACAGCACACAATTATGCATCGTTATGGAGAAAGTTAATTCCACCCAGCTACTGGGAGGGTTGCAGCTTAGCTTGGAGGGAACAGGAAGTGCAAATACACGTGCGTGTGAGTGTGTGTGTGGCTGATGACATTGATGCTAAGCAAAAAGTGCCCACTCCGAATCCTTTCAAGCCCTGACTCCGTGGCACCCCTGCTAGGCTGCCTTCACTGCTTTATTGTGTCTGTTATCCTTACAGGCTTTGGAGGTCTGGTGAAATCCACTGGCATGTCAAACTTTAATTGTGCCCAGATGGAAAGGCTCTTGAAGAAGCCTGGATTAAAATACAAACCAGTGAATCACCAGGTAAATTGTGTGCATGGAGCAGTGCCAGTGAAATGCTTTTTTTTTTTTTTTTTGAGTGTCTGGATTGTCGTGTTATGGTTTGGGAGGTAGGCTTCAAAGAGCCAATCGCCTGCAGGGGACTGCGTCCCATGTCGGCTCCCACCTTGCTTGCCCCTCCTGCACCAGCCACGGGCTCACTTGGAAGCTAACTCCGTTCAGCCACAAGCCACAATGTCAAACCGTTCGGCATAGTGCTGCATCATGGCAGTTGTGCAATTCAGCGCTGGGCTTTGCACACCCACACTTCTCTTCAGCCTGTTTTCAGCTGCTAATTTTGCACGTCCCTTCTGGCCACATTCCTCTAGTCAACCTTTCAGAAAATTTGCAACCAAAGGTGTGTGTGTGGTGTGGGGGGAGGGATTTCCATACTTAAGAAGCAGAAGAATTGTAAACATGCAGGGTGAGCAATGGACGGCACACTCCTTTATTGGCTCTCAATATTATGTTGGGACATAAATATTTGAGAGCTGGAATGGAACGCTGGTTAGAGTGTTGGACTGAAGCTTCGAAGATCTGGGAACTAGGCCTCCCTTGGCCATCATGCTCAGTGGATGACTCTGGGCTGGTCAGTAACTCTCGTTAAACTACTTCTTAGGGTTGTTGTGAGGATAAAATGAAGAGGAGGAGGAGGAGGAGGATCTACGCTTCCTTGGATTCCCTGCAAGAGGGAAAAGGGATATGAATGAATGAATGAATGAATGAATGAATGAATGCAGTTATATAGCACCTAATAACAATCCTCTGAGTGGTTTGCAAGAGGGGTCAAGGGGAAAGTAGTCTGGAGGTCTTCCTGAGTGACCACTGTCCAAGTGCCGTAACAGTCGGTTCATGTGAAAGCAGCCTATGGAGCATGAGAAGGACCATTGCAGGCCACTGAAGTTCATCAGCCCGTTCACAGTCTGGGGCAGTCCAGTGTACCATTCCCCATAGATGCTTGTGAACAGGACCTCTGTGTCCCTCTTTGTGCCTGCAGATTGAGAGTCACCCATATCTACCTCAGGAAGAGCTGCTCCACTTCTGCCAGTCCAAAGGGATTTCTGTCACTGCATATCGTCCTCTTGGAGCTCCCAACTGGCCAAGGGAAGGTGTGCTTTGAAGGCCGTATCCTTTGTAAACATTGATCTTGGATGTTCCTTACTTACTTTATTCTACACTTCATTGGTTTATTATCCTATCTTGTTGTTTTTATTCTGGTGATATTACCTGCTTTGAAGGGCTTATTAAAACATTTCTGCATTTTTTAAATTAATAAATGGATATTCTGCCTGGATACAAGTCCAATGAAGAGCCTCCACCTCCCTCCTGCTGTCAGCTCTGGCCACTGAGGAGTTCAAAGGAAGAAGAAGTAGCAGCCCATCCTATGTTTAGATCCAACCCGATGAGCTTCTGAACTTTGCAACTAAGAATCTAGTACCTGAGCCTGCCTTTTTCCTCCTCCCTCACTATCTACTTTCCTTTTGTGCTGTGTCTTTTAGAGTATAGGTTTGCAGGCAAGGGCTTTTTAACCCTGTCTGAAAACGTTTTCAGCTGAAGAATGGAATAAACATGCTATTTAAAAATAAATGATGGGGTTCCAGGTGGGCATGCTAATGGCAGAGCTGTCTATTGATACCTGTTCTGCTGCAGCTACATATAATGTGGAAGAAATAGGTTTGGGATGTGGGGACCTCTCTGTGCCCACTGGCCAAATTCCATTTCAGAGAAACCTGAGGGTCCCAGTGGTCACCAAGGCCAAAGGCAAAAGGACAGGGTCAAAGTTAGAAAAACAACCTATTTTCACTTAAACATCTTTGGGACAGTTTTCAGAGAGGAATTTCAACTTTTTGGAGTGGGCAAGAGAACTGTATAAAACTGGAAGGCCAAGAGCCCAGGGAGGAGGGCTGGGCCCAAGAAAAGGCACATGGACCAGCTTGGGACCAAGAAGGACTGGGTTTTGCCCTCTGGCTGTGACATAGCCCACCCTGGTATAGGAAAGCTGCATTTTAGAACAAGCAAGGAACACACACACACACACACACACACACACACACACACACACACACACACAGCTTTGCCCAAGACTTAAGCCCTGCTACTTAGCTGAGCATGGGAATGAAAAATGGACCCAGCAGGGATAAAGTCCCATTGCTGGGGTGGTGGTGGAACCAGTTCCTTCGTCCATGTTCCCTTCCCAGCAGGGGCTGGTGGCTCCAAAAGTCAGTGGGACAACATTCTGGGTTCCAGTCACAATTTAAATGGGGCTATCCATGCTGCTAAATCTGTTTTGGGGATAGGAGTCAACAGAATAGCTCCTTAAAAGTTCTCACTGAACCCCAAAGTGGCTATACCATCCTGCTTGAAAAATCAGACAGGGTGCACCTTGGACAGATCTGTGCAGACCCCAGTTGGAACAAATCTGTCGTGTCTAGCTAAAGCCTTCTCCACCCTGAAGGTGCATTTTGGAGGTTTGTAGCTGGAGGCTGATGTCAGGTTGTCTCAAACTTATGGCAACCCTCGAAATCAGTGTTCTCCAAAATGGCCTGTCCTTGTCAGCCCTGCTCAGCATTTATAAACTCAAGGCTGAGACTTCCTTCACAGAGTCCATGCATCTCCTGGTTGGCCTTCCTCTTCGTCCACCTTTGAGCTTCAGTGGCTAATAGCCATGATGGTTCTGTGTTATTACCAGTTAGAGTTCACAGGATGCCTCTGCATGCCCATTGCCGGGGAACATGGGGAAGAGGCTGCTGCTGTTCTTTGTGTCCTTGTGGGCTCCTCAGAAGCATTTGATTGGCTGCTGTGGGAACAGAAAGCTAGAACAGATAGGCCTTTGGTCTAATCCATCAGGACTCTTCTTATGTTCTTAAATTAGTATGAAAAAATAAGATCTCCAGACACCCCAAATCTACGTGTTTCATCTTCCTTGGGTTCAGCCAACCCAATAAACCATACTCAACTGTTGAGTGTGGGCTGTTGAACTGTGAGTTGCTGTTGAAATATTGTTTATCATGTTATCTGAACCCAAGGAACCATTCACAATGCAACCATAAACCATGGACTCCCTCCATGGGTTCTTTGCGATTAACTAACCATGGTTTGTTACCACAGTTTGGTTTAGACCAGTGGTGGTGAACCTATGGCACGCATGCCACAGCAGGCCCGCAGAACCCTCTCTGTTGGCATGCTGGCCAAGTGGCCCCAGCATCACCCCCGCAGCCGAGCATTGGATAACAGCGCACACAGGGGCCATGCGCATGCTCGGAAAGGAGCAGCAGCGCCAGGCAATGACATCACGAGCCACGGCTCATTAGCTGTGACTCGTCCAAGCTTTCACATGGCCGGTCAGTGCACTGCCAAGAAGAGATAGATAATAGATATATTTGCTTGGACTGACTGTGGGTTGTTTTTTCTAAACTAAAACCTCAGTTTTCAGGTTTTATTGCAGTGTTGGCTCTTTGCGATAAATAAGTGGGTTTTGGGTTGCAGTTTGGGCAATCGGTCTCTAAAAGTTTCGCCATCACTGGTTTAGACCATATGAGCATTCATGTTTCAGCCACAATGTATGGTTCAACAGCTCCCTGAGCCCTTTTGCCTGAGCCCATACATTTCATAACGAAGCATGGTGTGGCTTCGCAGAATTTCAAAAGGGGATGCTTCCTAGTCCATTTTCCCAAGAGCTTTATGGGAAGCCCATGGGCAGGAAAGGAGGGCCAGAACCCTCTACCACTGTTGCCTCCCAGCAGCTGACCTTGGAGGTTCCAGAGACTCCAGACCATCACTGATAGCATCCCTCCCCATTCCTGTGTCTAGGTGATACCTTTGAAAGCTGCCTTAAGGTGATGCCCACTTCTTGAGGAAGGGAATTCCACAGTTCAAAGATACTGGGAGCACTGATCAGCCATTGAAAAAGCAAACCTCTGTTTTCTACTGTTTAGGCATGTGTCTGAGAAGGTGTCTCTCCTCAATGATCCCAAGGTCAAAGAAATTGCAGCCAAACACAATAAAACACCCGCTCAGGTAGCTCCGTTCGATGTGTCTTTTCCCTTTATTGAGTGACATAATTTTGTGCCAACAGTATACATGGTTTCTGTTGGCTGCTACATCACAGGTGGGCAGCAGGTAGATCTGTGGACCCCACGCATTGTGCCCTGCCCTTGGCACCAAGCAAGGGCAGGGGGTGAGCCTCTTTCTGCTGGACACCCCCTCCCAAAGCCTGAGGAAGCAGTGTGGGGAAGGGGTCAGCGGCTTGCCCCCACAGCCAAAGGCCCCTAAGACGTTGCAAGTCCTCAGTTCCAGCCGGGAAGGAGGAGGCATGAAAGCAGGTGGGAGCTGCTTTCTCCTCCAAGGGAGACCAGCACAAGCAAGTGCTTCTGCCCACTCCACTGGCCTCGGGGATCACCTCACCATCGGGCTTTCCCCGCTGGTCTCCCTGAGAGGAGGCAGGGAGGAAAGCGACCATCCCCGCTGGCCTGCAGAAGAGGGAGAGGAGGCGTGCTCTCTCGCACCTTCCCCAGGAAGGGGGAAATGGGGAGGGGTGCTAAGCCACTCCTTCTTAGCAGAGTGACTCGTTCTTGCAGCTGCGCTGCAAGGTCTGCAGCAGTGGGTGCGATCCAGCTGCTCAGTCTTGCCTCTTGGGAAGAAGTGAGGCCTAGTAGCTGGAAGGCAATACCTGATGGCCTCTTCCTGGCCTTGGGGAGAGCAGGACTGCTTGCAAACAATTCTGGAATTTGCTCCCCAGAGTAGTTCGCCTGGCACCATCACTATTCTTTTTGGCACCAGGCCAAAACCTTTTTATTTTCCCAATGTTTTAGGACCTGACTGTTTTAATTGGGTTTTTTAATTGGTAAAATTTTAGGATGCTGTGTTTGGTTTTTTTAAATATATATATTGTATTGTTAAACTGTCCAGAAACTTCAGTAATGGGACGGTCTACAAAAGTTTTGAATACATAAATTAATACACAAGCCCACTGTCTCAGCAGCTGCAGCAGCACTGGGTGGAGAAGCCGATGACGGCCCTCCAAAGGCTTGGGCAGTTCACTGGCTGTCTTGGGCTGGAGCCCCCTGGCCAGAGCAGAAATGATCTTTGCAGCACTTGCCAAGCAGCTCTAGGCTCTGGGCTTGAGCCTGACTTAGTGTGCTACCCAGGTTCGAATGCTACACTGAGCCCCGGGGGTTTACATGTCTCATTGGCCTAGTTTTCAAGCTAATCCAAGGTGCTGATAAACTGCCCCCAGGAAGCAGGGAGGGTTCAGATAACATGCTAAGCCAGCCTTAGAGCTTAACATGCAGCACAAACCTGGTCTAATTGAAATTCTCTGTATAGGATGAGGGAGTGGGGTTATAATTTTCCTTCTCTACCCACTAGGCATTCCTGCCTTGCCTTCCAGACTACTACATTTCCACCCAGGGTCCGCAACATTTGGCTAGGATGCATACATGTGCAATCCAATGTGCATAGGCCAGATGGCTGCAGTAAACTCTGTACCAAAGTCCTGGACTACATTTTCTGCCACTCTTCATGCTTTGTTACTGGCATGTTGGGGGACCAAAAGACGTGTTTTATTAATTGGGAAGCATGGAGCCAAGAATGCTCTTTGTTTATTCTGAAGTAAGTACACACAGCTGCAATTCAGCTCAGGTCCACTACACGCTGGAGGGGAGGATGAAAGCTCCAGGCAGCAACATTTCCTCAGAAATCTCCACATTTTAAAGGCCGTGGGGATCTCTTGCTTCTTCCCAGGCAGCTGTGGAAAAGGGTATGTGTGGAGAGAAGGTTTAACTCTTACCTCCCAGGACTCAGTGGTCCAATCCAAATTTACTTCCTCTGGAATAAAAATAACATCGAACATCTGCATGCGACAGAGTTAATATCATAGCTAGTATGACCCTGACCTGATTCTATACTGGAGACACAGAAAAGAGGAATGTAAAGGGGGCAGTATTTTGACATAGTCTTTCATTTAACCATTCCCATGTCTGGTTTCTCATAGGTTTTGATCTGTTTCCAAATCCAAAGACACGTGAGCGTGATCCCCAGGTCTGTTACTCCCAGTCGTATTAAAGAGAATTTTGAGGTACACCTGCTTTTAAGACATCCTTGGTCTTGTTATGTTGAAATTAATTCATATATCTAGGAAGGTTTGACAATACTGCTTATATACCAGAGGAAGTGTTGAGAATGCTTCTCCGATATGAGATTCGACAACATTATTTGTTACAGCTTTCATTGACTTTTTGTTCTCCAAGCTGGCAAATCTCCCCTCCCTCCATTAATTGGGCAGCAGAACATTTATTTATTTCTGTATTCAGCTTATATTCCACTATTAACGAGTCCAAGGACTCTCTAAGTAGAGTACATAGGAAAGTTAATTACATGAGAGATCTGAGCCCTTGGGTGAAAACTGAATCCTCTCTCACTCCACGCTTCTAGACTTCACCTGGGCCACTCCCATGTCCCCTCATGCAGGTCACGTCCTCCCACGTCACCTTCCAGAACTTGTCAATACTATTTCATTCATCCTGATTTGTTTCTCAGTATGAAGCTGACGAAGGAAGCCTTGCAGAAACTGGGGAAGGAGAATGCCTAGATGCGAATCTCTCACCCTTAGACCAAAGACAAGAATCACACCTGCAATTCTGCCCATATTTGATCCTGGTCCCACTCACAATGGGCTCCGACTACACTCAGTTCTGGAATGCAGAGCCTAACTGGGTTTAGCCAAGGTTGAAGACCATAATGGGAAAATTTTCTGGACTCCAGAAATGTAAGTTCTTCCAAGAACAACAGAAGGGAGATAGAATCTTAGAAGAAAATCTGAAATCAACAATCAGACAAACCTGTATTAGTACATTGTTCATTAAGCTAGGTCGTAAAAAACCCCAGCGGGAATGGGCAAGAATGGGCAACTTGTGACCATCCAAATATTTGGCCTACAACTCCTATCAGCCCTGGCCAACATAGCTAGGGAAAGGAACAGAAAAGTCCAAAATATTGAGCAGGTGCTGTGTTTCGGTCCTAACAATGGTATTATCCAACTGTGGGGTTTGGATCTTTTCCCGTTGCGGACCAGCGCAACTATTTTTGGGGATGGCCATCATTTGCAACTTGAAGCAACCATCCCCTATTCACTCACACAGGAAATACAATAAAAATACAATATAGAACTCTAAGGAGATGATGGTGGCAATCTAACACATTCAAAGAATCTTTTTTAAAGCTTCAGCTCCTGTTTTATGCCTATGGAAATTTATGATGACCCTATAAATTATGAGTCAATTCAAGCTTCTTTATCAAATCATCTAGGTACTTAACTGATGGTTTTGTGATGGGATATTCTCATAGGTACTACAGCATTATGGGAAAACTTCTCTTTTCAGGTGTTTGACTTCGAATTGAACCCAGAGGAAATGGAAACACTGCTCAGATTTGACAAGAGATACAGAATTTGTGCAATGAAGAAGTGAGTATCTCCCCCCACCCCCCGATTTATATCCTGCCTTTTTCCTACAAAGGGCTCAAGGCAGCTTACATCTCCTCCTCCATCTTATCCCCACAACAACCACCCTGTGAGGTAGGTTGGGCTGAGAGTCTGTGACTGGCCCAAAGTCACCCAGTTGGCTCCATGGCCGAGCGGGGACTCGAACCCAGATCACCTGAGTTCCAGTCCTATGCTCTTAACCACTACACCACACTGGCTCTCTTTTTGGCCGTCTAGGCACTGAATATAAACAACATCACTTCAACTATCCATTGGTTGTAAAACCAAAATCATCTGGCATGTGCCAGCAAGTGAAAACCAATGGAATTATACTTCTGAACTTTCATAGAAGTTTTGAAACAAGCAGAAAGGCCCCCAAATTCAAAATAAATATACTCAGTCTACAGTGCCATAAAGCAAAAATGCAAGGGGCCTTGAACTTTTTCAACTCCTGTATTAAGGATTTCAAGAACAAATTACATCACTTTTCTACATAGCCACCTTTCTTTGCGACGCAGAAACGTTTTGAAGACCCCTCATATTTTAGAAATAATTTTATACATAAATAAACAAATATTTACTGTAGCTCTTCCTCAACCTTAAGACTGAGGTTTTGACTTCAGCTTACATAAGTCCCACCCAATGGGCAAGAATGCTGCGAATCTGTAGTCCAAAAGAAACGTGGAGATCATCAGGTCAGTGAAGGCTGGTTTTGTGCAGCTTATTGCATCCCGATGCCTTTATGCCAGAATTAAGCAGGCTCATATTGTTCTGCAACTGCCAAAACAGTTGTTCTCTTCTCCTTGTGTATTTTAACTGAAGTCCATCTGGCATGTTATGGCAGCAAGTTGGAAATCATTACAAAGTCACCCCACATGACAGGAGCAGAATTTGTGAGTACAAACAGCTTAGTACACATGCTTGGTGACCATCTCCTAACCAACAGATATTAAGAAGAGCTGGTCACCGTGAATGGATGAGGCCTTCACAGAATCCACTACCAGACAGGGACAGAAAGTGCTTGCAATTGTGCAAAGTGGCCACAAGACGGGGTGGGCAACTTGTGGCCCCCAGATGTTTTGGCCTACAACTTCCATGATCCCTCACCATTGGCTATGCTGGCAAGGGCTGATGGGAGTTGCAAAAGAAACAAGAGATGCTTCAAATCATCCCTCAGGTTGGATACTTTGCTCTTGCCCCACCACACCTGTCTATACCTTACCTGCCTATACAGTAGTATACCAATACCTAAGTATGTGGGATTTTTAAAAAAATCTCCCCTCTAGAAAGCATAGAAAAATTCAAAAAAGGATAAAGATCAAGTTCTTTTTTTCTCCACAGCTGGTGACAACATAAAGATTATCCTTTCAGGGAAGATAACTGAGTGTGATGTTTGATCCCTAGAAGCTGACAAAGCAAACTTCACCTGCCTTCACTCATCTCTGCAATCACCTCTACCTGTCGTACTTCTCACCATCTTAGACCAGAATACATGTAACAGCAAACGCAGGAAGAAACTGCAGGCATAATTCCAACTGTTGTAGGTTGATTCAGCTACAGTCATTTCTCTTTGGTTTGTCTTTTCAGCAAATATTTTAAAATTATATGAATTATTCTTTTGTACCTCTCCTGCCCTCAGTAGCTGAAGTTGTCTGGGTGGTTTACAACAGCAAATACTTACAATAAAATACAACACCGTTCGGATAATAAAACATTGTTAAAAGTTATAGAAAAAGACAGATGTAAAAATAATTTTTAAAAGGAATAATAGCTTACACTCATTAAATCACAAGTCCTGTTAAGCTGCTGACATAATGCCCCAATACAATATTAACTCTAATTAAATGCCCTGTCCTGGAGCATGATCTTAACCTGCCATCAAAAGATATTAGAGTTGACCTCAGGTGGACCTCAGTGGGGATTAAGTCCCATAACTATAGGTGGGGGCCAGCACTGGGAAGGCCCTTCTCCCCGTTGCCATCAACTGAGGCTCCTTTAGACGTGGCAATTGGAGGCAGGCCCTGGATTTTGACTGTAGTTCTCAGGTAGATTGCAGCTGGGAAAGACATTCCATCAGATACTGTGGTCCCAAGCCATCTAGTGCTTTACAGGTTAAAGCTGCCACCTTGAACTGGGCTTGGAAACACATAGGCAGCCAGTGCAAGCAGGCTAGAATTGGTGTTATGTGTTCAATACTTCTAGTCTCTTTTATTAATGTGGCTACAGCTTCTGAACTGTCTTTAAGGGCAGCCCCATGGAGACTGCAATGCAGTCATCTAGTTTGCAGATACCGGTAGACTAGTGATCACTGAAACCAGGCTACTCCAGTCCAGACAGGGGCATAGCTGGGCCACCAGCTGAAGCTGGTAAAAGCCATTCCATGCCACTGAAGCCACCTGGGCCTTAAGTGACTCAAGGAACACCCCCACGCTATGAACCTGCCCCTTCCTGGGGTGTGAAACCCATCCAGAACAGGTCAAACATCCTCCATCCAGTCAATGAGAACATCCATCTCATCTGGACTGAGTTTCAGTTCGTTAGCCAGGCAGTGGTTTTACAGCTCCACAGCCTCACCTACTGAAGATGAAAAGGAAAAATTGAACTGTGTCATCAGCTCTCCAAGTGCCTTTTAAGCATAGCAGTGTTTAAAACAGAGTGCTGAGAAACATTTGGGGCTTTTTACTGAGGGACGGTATATAAAAGTTTTAAATAAACAAACAGCATTGCTTAATATTTGCTCAGCAAAGGCAGTACCCCTGCTTCGATGTCACGACAATCCAGGGTCCTGCTGGATGTCACCCGGCACTCTTGCTGTGAGTGGGAACAACCAGGCAGCCCAGAAAATCAACTTCCCCGGGTTGGGTGTGAAACAGGCCCTCTGGCCTGTTGGGGAAGACAACCCAGAGCCGCAACCCAGGTGCAGAGGTGACCACCAAGCATTCTCCAGCAGCCCACTCGCACCACTGAGCTGCTGTGATATCCAAATGGGGCTATTGCCTTTGGCTGAGCAAACAGCAAGGCGATTAATGTCACTTGACACTCTATTTTTATCACTGTTTTGACTGAAAAACAACAATTTTGGATTGTCATGAGATCCAAATTGAAACAAAGCCAGGCATTGTCAAAACTCCCTGATGAAGCATGGAAGGAAGAGTGCGTTTTCCTGTCTTTCCCTGCCATGGTTTTCCTAAAGGATTAACTTCAGCCCAGTGCACAGTTATAACTAAAGTTTGGTGCTAGACTGTAGCCTTTCTTTTGCAGGTTGGACAAAATTCTGCTGCAAGTGTATGCTTTTTTTGTACAATAAATCTCTCTTTCAGCAAAAGATCCCTCACACCTGTGGACTTCTCTTGACAGCTCAACTTCCGCTCACCGGTGCCTTTCCTTTTCCTGCATCAGCAAGTGCCAAGCCCAGACTGGAGTATCTTCAAAGGGAGAAACCAGCCCAGAGGTCTAGGCCAAAGGATCCATCATGCCAAGCATCTAAGGCAGGCAGAAGTGTATAAGAGTGGTCCAGGGGGACAATTGATGGTTAAGGAATCTGTCCAGGCTGAAGGATGAAGCCAAGTGCTGAGCTGAAGCTGAAGCATCGTTCTCTGCTCCAGCTGGGCTAATTCATAGCTACTTGTAGCTCTAAATCGGCGCAGGTGGCTAGTTAGGTCTGTGTGTTGCTTTGAAGGAAGGCCTCTCATTGCGGCTTCTCTTTGGGCTTCTGATGCTCCTGCTTGATCCTCCTTTTCAAGGAGTGGATTTCTGCCAGCTTTTGGGGAAGTCCAGGAACAACCCAGGAGGGCCCAGGAAAGCTGTTGTCTGCAGCATCAGCTTCATTATCTGGCTCTGGATCTCCCCTCCTTCTTCCTTGGATGAATCCTCTTCCAAGTAGGGCAGGACAGCCTTACATATCTCTTCTCCTTGAACTCAAATGCATCTTGAAGGAAGAATAAAGGAAACTGCATATTGCATCAATGAAGAGAAATTAGTGGCACTGTAAGCTGAGAGTCCAGAGAGTACTTTGGATATGCCATTATTCCTTTCTGTTTGATTTTCACTGGTGCAAGACCTTTCGGTCACTCCCAGATGCGACTACCAGTTAGAAAACACCGAGCACCTATTTCAGCTTCTGTTGATGACAGCAAAGCAAACAAAGACTGAAGACGTGGTGGGAAAATATAGGAAGACTGCAGAATAAATGCCATTTGGTCTAATCCTTCCACAAAATCCTGTGAATGAAGTTGTATAATTGCACAATACATGACATTGCATGTATATCCAGCTTTATTCCCTCTTGTGCAGAACCCAAGGTAACGTACATAGATTCACTCTCATAACAACTTCATGAAGTAGGTTAGGCTAAGAGGGAGTGACTGACCCAAAGTAACCCAGAGGGCCAAGTAGGGACTAGAACCTGGGTCTCCGAAAAGTCCCGTCCAACACTCTGAGCACCACTCCACACTGGCTTTCTTACGTGGAAGCACAATTACTTGAGATTTCATACTAAAGTTAGATGGAATGCTTTGAACATAAGGGAATTGCCAACCTATTGGTACACCTGTAGATGAAATCATAAGAGGCAAAACCTGGGGGAAAGGTCAACATGTGCTAGACCAGAGTGGCCCTACATGACTGGCAGAGGGTTGCAGCCCCCCCCCCCAATTAATTTTGCCAAGAAAAGGCAGCTAAACAGTGGTGATTTTACAAGAAAACCAGGTGAACAGGGAGCATGTATTCAGTTTACAGACAGAATCAGAAGCTTCTTTATTTCATTGCAAGGATGGCATTTTGGTAGTGGCCCAAGCATCATGGGATGGATCTGACTTTGCTGAGTTCCTCTGGATGTTACTAGAGCAAGTGTGGTGTATAGTTCCCTTTCCCCCTCATCCTGTCCCTCAAAGGCTCTTGGTCCCTCGCCAGGGAAGTTCTTTCCTTGAAAGAGGAGTAAAAAGCAGCTCTTCGTAAGTATTCCCCCATTGCTGCATTTAAGACCCTGTGTCACAGAATAAGATGTGCACAGGCTTGGAATTTCAGGTGCCCCTTGAAAGCACTGCTTACTTCAGAGTAAGCTTACAATCTGTAAAAATTCTTTTTCGGCCTTGCTCACTCCTTCCTTCGGCCTATGCATATTTTCCTCCTGGCCTCACACACCCAGGGAGCAATACCGCCCCCACCTGGCCTGCTCCCTGCAGGCTATTCCCAGATTGGAATTTGATCTTGGGCTGACAAAAGGACCCTTTACCGGTAATTCTCAGAGGTGTTTAATGTCATATTCACCAGGCTGAACCCGCAGAGGTACTTTGCAATAACCTCACTGGTGTTAACAGAATGGATGGAGGTGCCCACGGTTCTAACTATACAGTCAGGCCACCATCAGACCTCCAGTAACAAGAGCACCACGACTGCGGCATAACTTTGGTGCAACATTTGGAGCAATTCTCCCTGCCAATGGAGTGTTGACTAGAATGAGGTCACCCAAGTCGTTTCATGGAGGTTTCCTCTTCCACTCCCCTCTCTGCTCTTCCCAAGTCCTGGGAACAGCAAGGCAATGAAGAAGCTGCAGTTGATTTTGCAGTATCTGCAACTGATACTGGACCTGAAGTAGATTCAATGTCAGCATTAGATTTTCTGAGCTGCAGCAGGGAGCCTGATGTTGTGGTTTCTACATGGTCTAATATTTGCTCACGGTGTGACCTTTTCAGAGGAGAGATGTCATTTGTTTAAATTTTCCCCAGCAGATGCTCCAGTTTAGAGAGCAGTACGTAAGTTGGCAAGCCAAGACTGGCTTCCCTTTCCTTTGCAGTAACTGGAAAAAAGACTGAATGGTGGAGTTTGCGTGCGGTAATGTTTATTGGCATGTCCTTGAGACACTTTCTGTGGCGACAAGGACACTTCATTGGCCTAGCTAGAAAGCACACGTCATGCTTTTCCCCAGCAGTCAAGTGTTCCCAGTGACACAGCCTGCTCTCAAGAATTCAGCCTTGTTGCCCCTTCTCTGCAGCAGGAGAGATATTTCTAAATATTTTGCCCTAAAACTCCCACTGGATGTGTGTGCTGCTTAGGATGGATGGAAACTGTAAGCCAGAGCATTGTAGACCCAAACAGGAAGTTACCCATCTTTGCTCTAGAGTTTTATTCGTAACAGTTTTCCCTTGCGCCCATTTTACAGGCAAGTTCTTTTTGTAGGATAGTCACCATTTCAAAAATTCAGCTAAAGTTTGCATGGCAAGAGTGTTGTTCTCCCAAAGACAGTTCTGGCATCTCAGTCTCAGCAAGGTTGCAGTTTTGGTGTCTTCTGCAGGTGAAAAGGCCCCCTAGCCAGGAGAGAGGGATGCCCAATGCAGCATTTCTCTGCAGCTCACGCACGTGCCTGCTGCACTCTTGGAGAGCCAGGAGGGTGCTGGTGGTTCCCGAAGGGGGCCTGATGCTGAGAAGATCTGGAGATCTCTGGTGCTTTGGTGGATTGGCTGCACTTCGTCTTGCAGAGGGCAAGGGACTCCTTCTGTGCTGGGCATCAGCACCTGGCAACTGCACTTGTGGCTGGAATCACTAGGACACCTGGCCTGATCCAGAAGGATGCATCTTAAA